GGGGTGTAGGCCAGAGGTGCTGGGGTGGGGTGAGAGACTTCACCAGACACAGAGTGGGGAGCAGAATGGTGGATCCACTGAAATACACTGCTGAGGGGCACACGGGGGAGCTTTCATCAGATTCTGCTAAGAGTACCATTTTTTCCTAGGAGTTCAGAATAAGTTTGAGAACCACTATCTTAGAGACTTTATTAACTACCCAGCCACTCACCTGAAATCTCTTTCAAACAGTCCGGGTGTATTTCAGATATAGATGGTTTGAGTTAAATATTTCTGACACCAGAGGTCCTCTGTTGTGGCATTAGTAGAAATCAGACTAAGCCTACTGGTCTAACGAGGAGTCTCTGGCCCTTTGCACTTGGTTAGAAACAGCAGTTCCCATACTTTTTGTGTCATGGAAGCTGGATTTCAAGGGTCCACTGCTGCCAGTCCTCAATGTGCTCTCTCCAGTCAAATAGGAATGACACCCACCAACCGGCAAACGTCTGTGCTTCTGAGGAAACTAGGGAAGCACTGGCCCAATTCATGACTATATATAGAATCAGAGCACAAAGACCAATGAATGGGGATCAGTGGCAGGGAGTTCTGATCCTACTTCTGTCACCAACCAGCTGTGTGGTATCACTTCCTACTTCAGGGGCTTGGTTTTCTGTAATCGGAGTAGCTTAGTGGTTTCTAATACATACTCTGAGTCAGACAACATGCCTTCAGAATCTGGATCTACCACTTACTCTCTGATCTGGGAAGTTATTGTATTTCTCTGTGCCTCATTTTCCCCTTCTCCAAGGTGAAGATGATAATAATAGTATCATGAGTTTGCTATGAGGAGTTACTAGCACAAATGAGTTATGTCAAGGATTTAGAGGAGACAAACACAATAATGTGCTTGCTATTATAATTACTAAAATTACAGAAATTGTTTTTAAGACCCCTTCCTACTCCAATATCCTATAAATTTAGAAAATCAATGATCATTTCTTATATGCCTAGCACTAGTTCATTTTTTCACCTATAACATAAGGGACTAGACAGTCCATAAGACCCAAACAATCTATGGCACTGGAAACTATTATTATTATTATTTGGTAAGGTGTTGATGGTGGGTATCAAAGAAAGGTGCTGATGGTGGTCTTGCTCTCTACAAACTGACTGCAGAATTCAGGAGTCCAGACAAACACACCAGCCATACATTAGGGAAGAGGAGGTTCCCGTTAGAGCACCCAGAGAAGAATCCCTGGCATATTTTTCCAGCTTACTTGACGGTTATCCAATTTTTTTTTCATTCCAAACTAAAATGTAGGACAAAGCCTTCCATTCCAAAACATAAAATTTCATAATTTTATAATGCACACATTTCTTTTTTTCCAATTGTCTTTTGCATTTTTCCCATATGGCCCACAGACACCTTATTCTAAGAGGTAAATGTCAGATAATGGATTCGAGAGGAAATTTTGATAGTGGTGAGAACGGACACTGGTTACTTGGAGAAGGCACAAAGAGGCCCTAAAACTCAAATTATAGGCCAGATATGCACAACTGAGCATCACAGACGGAAGACTAAATTATGCCTTTCTCATTTCTCACTTTCAAACATGTTAACCAAGACTTTATTTGACCCTCAAAAGTCTTGTCAGACAAGGCAGATCGTTTTGTCCCCATTTATAGATGAGGCTCAAAGAGAGTAAGTGATGATTTACCCAAATACATAGCTTGCAAATACATGTGATTGATGAGTGATGGAAACAGACTTTCCTAATTTCCCCCTCTTCCTTGCCTTAACCTCCGTCCTGGGTTTAGGATTCCCACTGGGGATTTGGTGTGGACAAGAATTTGGCCTTGAAGGACAAGAAAGCAGGGAGGGGTAGGTCTGGAGGAGGAAGCAGCTTCAGATACTATGTCGGCTGCCAAACCAAGGGGCGGCTACCGGTCTAGTGCAGGGAACCAGGAGTGAGTCTTTTTTTTTTTTTTTAGAGATTTATTTATTTATGCATACAAGAACTAGGATACAGGCCAGAGGTGTGGGGGGTGAGAGGATTCACCAGAGACAGAGTGGGGAACAGAACAGGCAGATTGACTGAAATACACTGCTGAGGGGAGCAGCGGGTGAGACAGGAGAGGTCTGCCGCGCCATGTGGGTAGCTCCCTGGCTGGGGCTGGAATTCATGCGTCAGTGGCTGGGGACAGTTTCATAAGTTACGTCTTAACCCCTTGCACCACCAGGGAGGCCCACCCGGAGTGGGTCTTCAGGGAAGTCCACAAGCTGCCCTCTTACCAGGCCTGGAGGAAAGGCTTCCCCTCTAAAGTCAGATTCACCGCTCTGCGGAGAACCCACTACCCCTTTTTGGCCACAGTCTTTCTAACCCTCAAAAGGCTAAAAGCACGTCCACGTGATCATCCCATCACCCAGGTAAGTTGCCTCTGTTTCGTGTGGAAAACAGGAAAATAAAATTTCTCAGCCCTTGCATCTAGCAATGCACCCCCTCTCCACCCCTGTCCCAAGCAGGGAAGCACAACCCTTTGGGTAATGGGTGCGGGGAGGGGCTGGGCGGTCGGCAGGTGCGCGGGACGGTCTCCGCGGCGGGTGGGCAGCCTGGGGACTACCCCGCAACCCCGCGGGGCTCGGGTCCGGCGCCCCAGGGGGCTGGGCGAGGCGCGAGCCGTGGGGCGCGCGCCGCAGGCCTCGCTCACCTGGCGCCCTGAGGAATGAAATCCTAATTAATTATTAAGCTGCGCTCCCGCGGGAGGGAGCGGGGGCCGCGGCCGGCGGGCGGGCGCGGCGGGGTGGGGCGGGGGCGCAGGCCGGGAAGGGGGCGCGGGGCTGGCCCGGGCGGCTCGGCCTCTGGGGACCCCGGCAGGAAGGAAGCCGCCCCTCGGGACGCGGCGGGGCGCGGCCGCGGAGCCGGGGTGGGTCCGCGGGCGCGCTCGGGGACCCCGGGGTGCGGGCGGGAGGAGGGTGCCGGCGGCCGCGGCGGGGTGCAGGGAAGGGAGAGCGGGCGGGACGACTCCCCTCCCCCGCCGGGTCCCGGCCCCAGAACAGTGGCCGCCTGTGGTCCCCGGGCGGGGGGCCGCGGGGCCGCGGGGGCGGGCGGGGAGGGGCGCCGCGGGAGGGGCTCGTCTCCGGCCGCCCGCGCCCCGGCCCGTTCCCCGGCCCGGAGGGGCCCTGCGCGCGGCCGGGGGAGGGGGGTGTCCAGACAAAGGCGCTTGTGCCTTTAAGGCGGGGAGCCGGGCGGCGGGGAGGGGACTTCTGGATCCGGGGTAGAGGGCGGCTGCGCTGGACACCGCGGGGCGCGGGCGGCGGACGCGGCGGCACGGCGGGGGCGCGCGGGCGCGGGGCAGCACCGCGGGGCGGCCGTCCGGGCGGCCGGGGCCCGCGGGGGCGGCGGGGCGGGGCCCGGGGGCGGCGCCCCCCCGGCGGGCAGGTGAGCGGCGCGGCGCGGGGCGGGGGGGCGGCGCGCGCGGGGGTTCCCGCGGGGCTGCGGGACCCCGCTCGGCGCCCTGGCGCTTGGGGCGGCGGCTCGGAAGCCGGGGAGGGTCGCCCCTCGGGCTGGGGGTGGGATCTGAGCGGACGGGGCCGGCCCGGGGAAATCCCGGAGAAGGGGGGCGAGCGCAGGCTCCGGGGTCGCGGAGTCGGGACCCCGCGCCCCGCCCCCCCGCCCCCCCGCCCCCCCGAGACGTCCCCGACGGCGCGGCCGGAGGGGGTGGAAAGCCGCGCGCGGGGGGAGGGGCTGTCCCGGGGCTTCGCCGCGGGCTGTGGGACGAGCCGCCGAGTTGAGGTCGGGCGAGTCTGTGTTCAGGGACGGGGGTGGCCGCGCGGGCGGAGGCGAGGATGCCCTGTGCCGCCTGCCCCCCGGGGCGCGGAGAGGGCGCGTCGTGGCCTGCTGCCGGGTGGGCTGGGGCGGCCGACTCCTTTCAGAGCAGGCTTTTTGCGGAGCTCGGGCCTGACTTGAAAAAGTAGAGTGGAATGAGTTGGTGGAGACACTTTCCCCGTAACCTTCGCTTGTCAGAGGATCCTTGGGAGTTGGAGGAACCCAGAAGGGGTTGAATGGTTGGAAGTGGAGGCGAGAACGCGCTACGGTCCTAGGGAAACCACGGGCTGAAGCCAGGAGTGGGAAACTGGCCCTCCAGGTACAGGCCCTGGGAAGGCCCCTGTAGTTTTGGGAAGGCCCAGCTCGGAGGCCCAAGGCCCAGGATGGTGGGCGGTGCTGGAATGGAGGGCCCTGCCTGGGTAGCACCTCCTGCCGTGAACTTCTAGAAGTCTGTTTAAATCGCCTGGAGGAGGATTTTTGCCAGGGAGGGCAAGGGCAGAGTTGCCCAGGGGATAGGATGGGCTGGGGGTGACCAGGAAAAAGGTTCGGACAAAGCTGCAGCAGAACCATCCTCAGAGCTGGGCTGTGGCCTGCTTTAGACTCTGGGTCTCCAGAGGAAGGGTCAGGATTTTGAGGAACTGGGTGTCCCTCTGCCAGGCAGATCTGTGAGAGAGAGCAAGAGACCAGGAGCTTGTTTCTGAGTAAGAGGAAGGTGGTCTGTGTTCACAGTGATGGGTTTCTTGACTAGGAGGGCTGGGAGGCCGTATGGGAAAGTTCTGTGGCTTAGAACAGTGCAGTCCCCTGTTCCTTGCCATACCAGCCTGGCATGGGATGTCAGGAGTGATGGGAATCTGGTGAGCTCTTCAAGATGGGGAGTTCTGGAGCGAAGTGCGGGGTGAACTGGTTGGTTGAACTCTTGCAGAATTCTGAAGTTGTCCTCTTGTGGGTCAGAGTGTTCTTGGGAGGGTTCTGTGTTCCTCTGGACAGTGTCTGCCTCTTCCTCTGTGTGTGTGAACCAGATGTTAGGATGTGTTTCCAGGGGGCTGGGAACATGACCAGAAACAGGCCCTTTGGGAACAGAGGTCCGGGTCACTGGTAGGGGTGGTGGTGGTGCAAGAACAGGGTAGGGGATTGGTGAGTGGGAGGAGGCTGGAGCAAAATGTCATGGCGGGTGGGGGGTGGGAAACCTGCTCCCTCTGGGCTCTCTCTTCAGCAGCTCTGGGGACTGATAGCCAAGAACCCAGGGACTTACTGGCTAGGGGGACGTGTGTTCTTCTCATGGCTGCTTTAACATCCCTAGGACACTGGCAGAGTTTTGTGATCAGCGTTTAGGACGCAGAGGAGAACTAGTATTTATCAGCCGAGCACTACGTGACGGGTCCTGCTAAGGTCTACTCATGACCGTTGCTGTTCCCATTTTACAGATGAAAAAACTGACATGGGGAGTTAAATAAATTATTCACAGCCACGCACCAGCAGATAATCACACTAAGGCTTGAAACCTGATATCATGCCAAAGATCATACTACTAATAAACCACATTGAAGAACCAGGCTTTGTTTGGTGACCTTTACCAAATGCCAGCTCGACCAAACATCTTGGATTTCTGACCTGTCCCTCCAGATGGTGCTGTTGGTGATGTTAAGGGGTGTCGGAGGGCGTGCTTCTTTGTGGGATAACAGAGGAGGGATACCGAGAGAACTTGACTGGAGGTACACCAGGGGCGGGTGTGCAGGGAGGTTCCCAGTCTGCCTTCTGCTTTGTGAGCCCCTGGGTGTCTGCTTCGTGTGTGGCTTGTTTGGCTTGAACGTCTGGTCCCGTGGCCACCTGGGGCAAGCGCTGGAAACACTACTGTCCATAGTGAGCACAGATGTCTGTGCCGCCAGCACTTCGGATTTCGGCATAAGGTGTCACTAGGGTGTCCTATGCACATGCGGGAGGACACAGGCATCCATGAGTGACAATGCGCCCACGGTGAGCTGCACCCAGTTAGGCCACACGCTGAGTGTTGTCACTGCGTCCTCTGATTTCTGTAACTCGGGCCAGCCGTGCAAAACTGCTGTGGACTTTAGTTCTTTGTTTCCTTCTGTCGAATCTGTCTTGTGTCCCAGGTGGCCACAGGATCAACTTCATAGGGTTTTGGTGAAGATCAGATAGAATTAGGCAGGTGAAAAGGACTTGAAAAGTTTAAAGCGCAGAGAAAGTGCATGGGAATATATCCATACATCCCATTCACCTGTTCAACGAACATTCTAGGTCCTATTAGTTGTAGATACGCAGTTAACGAAACAGGCCAAAATCCTTGCCCTCATGAAGTTGATATTTTAGTTAGGAGCGCTAGATAATGAACAAATAAGAAAAATATATAGAAGGGCAGTTGCTGATAAGTGCTGTGGGGAAAAATAAAGCATAAAGCTGGGAAGAGAGATAGGAGCTCCAGGAAAGGGGGGTTGCTATTTTAATAGAGTGGTCAGGGAAAACTCCCTGATAAGGGTGCCCTGGAGCTGTGGCCTAGAGGAGCTCTCATTCCAGGCAGAGGGAACAGCAAACACCAAGATCCCAGACTGGCCTGCTCACGGTGTACTGGGAATCAGCAAAGAGACCAATAGGCCCAGGCTGCTTTGAGAAAGAAGAATCGTAAGGTTTTTGTTTTTAGTTATTTTGTATTAAGTATTCTATACCAAATGCTCTTTTATAAAAAAGATTTATTTATTTATGCATACAGGAACTGGGGTGTAGGCCAGAGGTGCAGGGGGTGAGAGGATTCACCAGAGAGTGGGGAGCAGAACAGGCAGGTATACTGAAATACACTGCTGAGGGGAGTAGCGGGCAAGGCAGGAGAGGTCTGCTGCGCCATGTGGGTAACTCCCTGGCTCATGGTGCAGTGGCCTGATAGCTTGATAGCACTGTCTTTAACCCCTGCGCCACCAGGGAGGCCCCCCAAATACTCTTGAGCTATCTTTTATTCTGTCTTTTCAACATTTACTTACTGTGTGCCCACTATAAGCTAGACTCAGTATTTGGTGCTGGGGAGAAAGTGTTGAACGGAATAGGCTGCTGGCCTTCCACGCTGATCCCTGTATTCACATTCACAAAGTTTATAGTCAAGGAGATGAAGGCTCATTAAACAAGGGCTGATCTTATAATTGTGGTAAGTGCTATGGGGGAAATGTATAGAGGCTAAGTGGGGGGCTGAACTTAGTCTGTATTGAGTGGGGGAGCTGGGAAATCCTCCCTGAGGAAGCTATATTTAAGCTTGACCTGAGGGAGCTGGGCTCAGCATGGTGAAGTGTGCACGGTGTGTGAGTGTGTGGCCGGGAAGGAGGTGGAAGATTACCTTCTGTACAGAGGTCACTGACTGGTAGCTCCCAGGCTGCATTTATTCCATAAATGTGATTTCTTTGGCTTGGAATGTTGGAAAATGTGAATTACTTGCCAACATTTGAAAATCAGGAGATGTCGTATTCAAATCTACGCTTTTTTGCCAGTTTCTGCTGAAAAATATCAGAAGGTCCGGCTCCACTGGGATGCCAGTGATAGCAACCTTGGTGCTGGGTGGGTGGTGCCTGCCCTGTGCTCAGATCGGCCCTGTAGCTCCTCCCAGGTCTCCCGGACCAGGGTGGCTTTGCTCATTAGCAGGGACTTGTGTTTGTAACCACCCAGAAAGCAGTGCCTTTTGAGGAAGAGGTGAATTTTTAAGTGTACTGCTTTGGAATTAGGCACATCTAGGTTAGAATCTTGGTTCTCACACTTCTGTGACTGTTTGATCTTGGACAAGTTACTCCATTTCTTTTTTTTTTAAGATTTATTTATGCATTATAAGATGTGGGGTTCAGGTCAGAGGTGTGTGGGGGTGGTGAGAGGATCCACCCGAGACAGAATGGGGAACAGAACAGGCAGACTGACTGAAATACACTGCTGAGGGGAGCAGCGGGCAAGACAGGAAAGGTCTGCTGTGCCGTGTGGGTAGCTCTCTGGCCGGGGATCCAACTCAGGCTTCAGTGGCTGTGGTCAGCTTCATAGGTTGTGTCTTAACCCCTTTGCACCACCAGGGAGGCCCAGGTCACTCCATTTCTTATGTCTCAGTCATTTTTTGGGAATACCATCACCTTCTTCAGAGTAACTTGAATAGAAGAATGTATCTGAAGTGCTTAGCTTGGCAATAAGAGGTGCTCGGTTAACGAAAGCTCCCCATGGTGGTGGTGGTGGTTGGTGGTGCTATTAACACCCTCTCATTCCTTTCCTTTCTTCCCAGCAGCATGTCATGGTTTAGTGGCCTCCTCGTGCCCAAGGTGGATGAGCGGAAAACGGCCTGGGGTGAACGCAACGGGCAGAAGCGCAGGCACCATGGGACTCGGACCGGTGGCTTCTGCACCCCCCACTATATGAGCTGCCTCCAAGATGCACAGCCCCCCAGCCCCACCCCTGCAGCTCCCCGCCGATGTCCCTGGCAGGATGAGACCTTCGTCCGGAGGGGTGGCCCAGGCAAGGGTACCGAGCTGGGCCTTCGGGCAGTTGCCCTGGGTTTTGAAGACATTGAGGCCACCTCAGCAGTTGGGGCAGCGGAGGTGGCACCTGAAGTGGCACCCAGAAGCCGGCGATCCTGCTGGCGGCGTCTGGCACAGGTGTTTCAGTCGAAGCAGTTCCGCTCAGCCAAGCTGGAGCGCCTGTACCAGCGGTACTTCTTCCAGATGAACCAGAGCAGCCTGACGCTGCTGATGGCGGTGCTCGTGCTGCTCACGGCTGTGCTGCTGGCCTTCCACGCTGCGCCCGCCCGCCCTCAGCCTGCCTATGTGGCCCTGCTGGCCTGTGCCGCTGCCCTCTTTGTGGCGCTCATGGTGGTGTGTAACCGACATAGCTTCCGCCAGGACTCCATGTGGGTGGTGAGCTATGTGGTGCTGGGCATCCTGGCGGCCATACAGATTGGGGGCGCCCTGGCAGCCAACCCTCACAGCCCCTCCGTAGGCCTCTGGTGCCCTGTGTTCTTCGTCTACATCACCTACACGCTCCTACCCATCCGCATGCGGGCAGCTGTCTTCAGCGGCTTGGGTCTCTCCACCCTGCACTTGATCTTGGCCTGGCAGCTCAACCATGGTGATGCCTTTCTCTGGAAGCAGGTGGGTGGTCAGGGTGGTAGGCATTGGGGGCGCCAGGCCAGGAATGAGAAGGAGGCTAGTAACAGGATGGGAGAGTCATGGGTGGCTACCGGGTTAAGGACGACTAATTATACCTGGGAGGAGCAGTAAATGATGGGGGGCTAAGTCTCAGGGGTTGGCCTCTGGGATCTGGGGCAGAGGGTGCTGCTGAGGGGAGGGAAGACCCCGGGACCCAAGTACTGTCACCGTGGGCCACAGTCTATAATTCTTTCTCGAGCCACCTGAAATAGCATAGCCCGTGGGGACATAATGCCGGCCTGTCGGTGGGGGTGTGAGGCTTAGCCCCGGCGCGGGGGCAGGGCTGAGCGGACAGTATGTGGCCTTTGGCATCTCTGGCCTCAGGGCTTTTCAGGCCCTGGTGCAGTCTCTGAAAAGCAGCTCTTAGTGGTGATGTGGAGAGATGGAGTCTGCAAGGGAGGAGTTGTCTGAGAGCGTGGAGGGGGCATCGTGAGTAGAGTCAGTTCCCGCTCGCGCTGGGCTCGTTTGAATGGGGTTGACTGTGTAAGAGGAGCCTTAGGGTCAGATCTCCTGCCCTTCCCCCTGGGCACCGGTCTGCGTCTGGTTCTGAGTGGTGTGTGGGGTCGACCGCATCAGCACGTGTGGCAGGAGCTAAGCAGGATGACCCAGTTGTCTGCGTTCTTCTCTGGCGGGTATAGGACAACGAGCCTTGCCTCTCCTGACTTCAGCCTCCCAGTCTTGAACCCTGGGATAAAAATAGCATCTACCTTATGATGTTGCTGTCAGGGCCCCACCCTCTCCAAGTGTGGGGTAGAACCCAGCAGGGCAGCATTTTCACCTGGGGGCAGGGTGGTGTGGGGAGTGCCGTTGGGGATGCAGCCAGAGAAGAGGCCTCTGGGAAGCCCTTCTTGAGAAATCATGATCTTGTGGTATCTGCCCACCATCTCACATCATCGCTGTAACCAGGGCGCAGAGACCGAGGGCTCTTGTCCAGCTGGGGCTGCTGGAGGTATAGCTCCCCACCTAGCACATCTGGTGATCCTCTGGCACCTTGGTGTAGCGGGCACTTTCTCTGTCTTGCTCAAGGCTGGAGGAAGCCAGCCTCTACCTCGCCCAAGGCTATCGCCCACCCTGGCCCTACCTGCCACGAGGAAGTTACCTGGCGCCCCTAGGGTGGGAAGCTGGTTGCTATGGCGAGATGCCCATCCCTACCCAGTGGCACCAAGGAACAGAATGTACCTTTTCAGAGTAACTTTATAGTCCATTTGCTTCTGGAGCTTGTGTCTGCAGCGGTCAGACCTCTTAAAGGGCCAGGGTCACGCTGTCCTTGCTGGCCTCCCACTACTGTCCAGGCAGCTGCCATCCTGGGCTCGGGAGTCGGGACTACCCTCCTGGGGAAGGAGGAGTCCAGGGGGTGGGTGGTATTAGGTGAGCAGCTGGCATTAGGCCCAGAAACAAGTTCAGGGCCTGAGTGGGAAGCACAGCCCCATGGATGCCAGGACTGTGCCAGACTCCCGCTCCCTCTGGGCTACCTGGCGGTAGCCTCAACCAGTGGGTGTTAGCACACTCGTTTTGGGGGCAGGTGGAGAAAGTTGCTCTTTGGGGACAGGGCTGCCAACACCCCTCTCGGATCTGAGAGCCATTCCCTGCACTTAGATGAGCCTGTGGGCTTGGGGTGGGGTGGGGTTCTTGGCCTCCGTTCTTGCCTCCCTGGCAGTCCCTTCCCAGTTCGAGTTCCACTCAGGCTCACGGACAGAATCCCCCTTTCTCCTCGGACACACTCATTTAGACACACTTAGCCGTTCACACAGTGACCCTGACCCAGCCTGGAGTCTCCTATGACGCCCCGGCATCCATTTTTTCTCACATTCGCATGGGGGGGTCTGTGTACGAGTTATTTCAGTCTCTCGTCCCCCTTCCCTTCCCTTCCCTTTGCCATGACTCACATTTTCCTCTTGGGCTCTTGGGGCCAGGAATGGAAGCTGCCTGGTTTGCCCCCCGCTTCCTTCTCCCCCACTGGGGGCTATTCTTAGAACCCCCCAGGGAGATAGTGTGCCCCCCCCTTCACTCCTGCTGCAGGGAGGGACGGGGGCTTGGAGCTGAACTGGGAAGGAAAGCTGGGAAGCCCGCGCTGGAGCTCAGAGCCGCAGGACTCTGCGGTGCCCGGCGAAGGCCCACCCCTGCGTTTACCTAAGGAAAATGAAGCTGAGGTCCCAGAGATAAAGCGACCTGCCAGTATTTGCAGGACTAGTTCTTGTTCTGGGCAGAGCCCAGAACTCCTTGCTTCTGGTTGATCTTTCCCTCCCTTCTCTCCAAACCAGAGCCCTACCCCAGCCAACTCTGGGGTGGAGCTTCAAGTGCCAGCTTAACCCCTGAATTTCCAAAAAAAACCACCAAGACTGACTTCCCTTGGATTTATTCTCCAGTCAGTGCTGCTAATGATGACTGAGGAATGGCCATCCCTAGGATGGGGGGCCGAAGGCATGGACTCAGACTGGACCAGGTTTTGGGAGAGACTGGGTGTTGGGCACCTCATTCTAGATAGGCAGGTTTCTTCCTGTCAGTAGAATTGGTGACTTCCCAAGCCTGGGCTGTGAGGCTGAGCTTCAAGAGCTTGGGTGAGAGGTATGAGTAGGAATTCTGGAGACCTGGGAGGCATTCTGTGGTAGGTTAGGGCACAGACTGGAGTCTGACCACCCTGGACTCAAGTCTGACACCAGTCAGTACCAGCTGTGTGATCTTGGGCAAATTACTTAACTTTTCTGTGCATGAGGCCCGCCCTTTTATTTCATTTTTTAAAAAGATTTATTTATGCATATAAGAATTGGAGTACAGGCCAGAGTTGTTGGGGGTGAGAGGATCCACCAGAGACAGAGTAGGGTACAGAACAGGCAGATCTGCTGAAATACACTGCTGAGGGGAGCAGCGGGGGAGTCAGGAGAGGTCTGCTGCGCCATGTGGGTAGCTCCCTGGCCGGCTGGGGCTGGGGGATCGAACTCGTGCTGCAGAGGCTGTGGATAGCTTCATAGGCTGCGTCTTAACACCTTGCGCCACCAGGGAGGCCGGAGGCCCTTACCTTTAAAATAAGATATTGTTACAAATTTCATAGAGTTATAAGAAATACACTGCTTACTATGTAGAAGGCACTTACAGACTCCAGGTACATTGTAGGCAACCAACACAATTAGACAAAGTAATAATTCTAGTAATAATTCTAGTAATCGTTAACTAGTACTCTATCACTTGTGTTGCAGCAGTGAGACACCTCCCTGCTGCGCAGGTTTTAGATGCCCAGGCAGGCCCAGAGTTGAGATGCTCATCCTGGGGCACTCACAGAAGAATGCAGAGCTCAGGTCTGCTGGGTATGGTCCTGTAAGGAGAGCCATGTGTGGAGTGAGCCGCATTGGCCTTTTATTTGGGGTGTTTGTAGACAGGAAGTCCTGGTGTGCTGGGTCCGTGCCCCCTGACCTACCTGGCTGTGGTTAGCGCTTCTCGGGAGTATCTCCTTTCTAGCCACGGAGCGATCCAGGCAGGGGTTTGGAGACTTGTGAGATGGGGGAGATTATTGCAGAGGTGGGGACAGACAGGGCACAGGATCCTGGTGTCCTCCCCAGGAGTGCAAATACAGGAGAACCTGGCCAATTGCGCCTGTGTGTCGGGAGGTGGTAACCTGTCTGCCTCTGCCAACCCCTGCAGCTTGGTGCCAACATGCTGCTGTTCCTCTGCACCAACGTCATTGGTATCTGCACACACTACCCGGCTGAGGTGTCTCAGCGGCAGGCCTTTCAGGAGACCCGAGGTTACATCCAGGCCAGGCTGCACCTGCAGCGTGAGAACCGGCAGCAGGTGGGGTAGCTCTCACTGAGCAGGGCCTCCCCCACCTCATGCCCAGATAACCTGCAGCCTGCTTTTGCTGCCTGGTACAACTCCTTGCATTAAGTGTGAATGGTTCCCCCAATTGTGCATGCATCACAGAGACCTGACACTGGGGTTCCTGTCCTCTGCGGGGGGGAGGAGTATGTGGGAGCACATCCCGGGGTGGGGGGCTGAGTGGAGAGTGATTAGAGAGGGCTGGGGTAGATATCTACTGAAGGCGCTAATGGGGGAGGCTCAGCTACAGTCTAGAAGGGAAACTCAGAGAGGGCTGGGAGGGCCCTGGGGATGTGGAGGGTCAGCAGGGAGTAAAATTTGAGGCCGGGAGGACAGTGCACTCTGTTGAAACCACTGGTCTAGGAGCGGCTGTTGCTGTCGGTGTTGCCCCAGCACGTTGCTATGGAGATGAAAGAAGACATCAACACAAAAAAAGAAGACATGATGTTCCACAAGATCTACATCCAGAAGCATGACAATGTCAGGTAGAGTGGGGGTGGGGGGGGCAGGAGAGGTGGAAAATCTGGGGGTGTTTGAGGGCTGCTGGTCATCTGCCTTGTGCCATTGTCCACAGCATCCTGTTCGCGGACATCGAGGGCTTCACCAGCCTGGCCTCCCAGTGCACTGCCCAGGAGCTGGTCATGACCCTGAATGAGCTCTTCGCCCGGTTTGATAAGCTGGCTGCGGTGAGGGCGCTGGGGCCGAGGTGTCGGGGCAGTGGGTCTGCAGCGGGGGTGGTGGGCCAGGCAGGCTGGGTGTGCGGGAGAGTGAGGGTGACCCCCTCCCACTCTTTCCCTCTAGGAAAATCACTGCCTGAGGATCAAGATCTTAGGGGACTGTTACTACTGCGTGTCAGGGCTGCCGGAAGCCCGCGCGGACCATGCCCACTGCTGCGTGGAGATGGGGGTGGACATGATCGAGGCCATCTCGTAAGCAACGAGGGGAGGGGCTTAGGCTGGCGAGAAGGCCCACTGCCCGTGGCTCCTCCGCCCCAGCTCAGTTCTGCGTGACGGGCCCCTGCCAGGGAGCACAGTTGTCAAACTTTCCCCCTCGAGCCCCCTGCAGCCTCTGCCCACGTCCAGCCAAGGCTGTGATCCTGTACCCGGATCTGGGTCTGGCCTTGCCCGCTTGGCTCTAGGCGGGCGTAGGGCCTGGGCTCTGGGCGGTTGTGGGGAGACCGTGCCGGGAGCTGACTGACAGCGTGTCCCCCAGGCTGGTGCGCGAGGTGACGGGTGTGAACGTGAACATGCGCGTGGGCATCCACAGCGGGCGCGTGCACTGCGGCGTCCTTGGCCTGCGGAAGTGGCAGTTTGACGTGTGGTCCAACGATGTGACTCTGGCCAACCACATGGAGGCCGGGGGCCGGGCCGGGTGAGTGTGGGGTCCTGTGAGGGGTGGGAGCAGGCCGGGGCGGCAAAGTCTCACCCTCCTCTCCCCACACAGCCGCATCCACATCACTCGGGCCACGCTGCAGTACCTGAATGGGGACTACGAGGTAGAGCCAGGCCGGGGCGGCGAGCGCAACGCTTACCTCAAGGAGCAGCACATCGAGACCTTCCTCATCCTGGGAGCCAGCCAGAAGCGGGTCAGGGAGGGGCATGGGGTTTGGAGGGCAGTGGGAGGAGCAGGCAGAGTCCTTCCCTGGCACCTCAGCTGAGCCTGTACCCGTTGTGCTGGCACAGAAAGAGGAGAAGGCCATGCTGAGCAAGCTGCAGCGGGCGCGGGCCAACTCCATGGAAGGGCTGATGCCGCGCTGGGCGCCCGACCGCGCCTTCTCTCGGACCAAGGACTCCAAGGCTTTCCGCCAGATGGTGAGGCCCGTGGCCCAGGACCTGCTCTGTCCTCCTCAGCACTCTGTGTCCCCCTTCCTCCTCCTGTTTGTCTCCTCGCGCTGTTATCTCCGTGTCTGGTTTCTAGAATTGGCTGGGGTAGGAGGGATGATTTCATTCAAGGGGTCCAGGTCCCCCAACATGTGTAGGGGGAACCCCCAGCACAGCATCGGGAACGGGAAGGGATTGTAGAGGTGAAGGGGGGCTTCCTTCACCTTATTTGCACACTGTCTCCTTCTCTAGGGCATTGATGACTCCAGCAAGGACAAGTAAGTCAGGTTACCCAGGGAGGGTGTGGAGGGAGAAGGCGCTTGCATCCTGGGTCAGGGCCTTCGATGCGTCACGAGGGAGCAGGCGCCACACACCTGCCTCACACTCCCTCTTTTGGGTGCTGCCCATGCCCTTCCCTTCTTCACTGCCTCTCCCCTGGCAATGCCCATGCACCTGGTGAAGCCCCACCCCCTGCCCTCAGCCGGGGTGCCCAGGATGCCCTGAACCCTGAGGACGAGGTCGACGAGTTCCTGGGCCGGGCCATCGATGCCCGCAGCATTGACCAGCTGCGCAAGGACCACGTGCGCCGCTTCCTGCTCACCTTCCAGAGAGAGGATCTGGAGAAGAAGGTTTGGGGGATGCAAGGGCAGAAGGGACCGAGGACTGGGAGTTGGGGAGTCCTGGTAGGGAAGTTGGGCACAGGTGAGGGAACAGGGGGGGAGGTGCCGGGTCCCAGTGGGGATTCATAGGAGCTGGGCCAGGTGCTTCCCCCTCATGGCCTAGCGGTGCTCTGCCTCCCCCAGGGCAGAGCCCAGTATTCAGCTTGGCCTCTTCTCCTCAGTACTCCCGGAAGGTGGACCCCCGCTTCGGAGCCTACGTCGCCTGCGCCCTCTTGGTCTTCTGCTTCATCTGCTTCATCCAACTCCTCATCTTCCCACAGTGAGAGCTAAACCCCGCTCCCAGCTTCTCTTCCCTCGCACTCTCAGCACTTCCTAACACCCCAAATTCCTAGACGCTGTCCCAGGTACCGGGAGTCCAAACCCCCAGTCTCTGGAGCCTACACCCTGCATGCCCAGGGAGGGGGACAAGGATGCCCAGATCGTCCGGAGTAACTTCTTCCCTGGCCTTGTCTGCCCAGCTCCACCCTGATGCTTGGGATCTACGCCGGCATCTTCCTGCTCTTGCTGGTCACCGTGCTGACCTGTGCCGTGTACTCCTGTGGCTCTGTACGTAGGGGCCCTCCAGGGCTGGTGGGGGAGGGCGGGCCGGGCCAGGGAAGGGGGGCAGAGGGAGGAGACGGCCGTGGTTCCTAGTGGGTCCCCTCCCTGGTTGGCCTCGCCTCTCGACTGGCGCGGCCTCCAGCTCTCTGTCACCCCTGTGCCTGCAGCTGTTCCCGAAGGCCCTGCAGCGTCTGTCCCGAAGCATCGTCCGCTCGCGGGCGCACAGCACTGCGGTGGGCATCTTCTCCGTCCTGCTCGTGTTCACCTCTGCCATCGCCAACATGGTAAAGGCCCAGTGGGAAGTCTTGCACTTCTCTGTCCCGGCGCTGGGGGTGTAGAGAGAATAAGATACATTTCCTGCCCTTAGGAAGCTCTTTATTCCTCAAAAGACGGAGAGGTTAGCTCCAGGCCCCCACTCCTTGCTGTCCTCACCTCTTGTCATCCCGCAGTGAGGACTTTGGCCCCTGGGTTGTTACGTATCTGGGCATGGCCCTGGAAACTCATGGCCCTGCTTATCCCTCACCCTCATATACCCCCGTCCTGCCCCTGCTTTTGCAGTTTTCCTGTAACCACACCCCCATACGGACCTGTGCAGCCCGGATATTGAATTTAACACCCACTGACATCACCGCCTGCCACCTGCAGCAGCTCAATTATTCTCTGGGTCTGGATACTCCTCTGTGTGAAGGCGCCGCACCCACCTGCAGCTTCCCTGAGGTGTCTAAGCAGTGCTCAGGAGCGGGAGGGGGTCTGATCAGTCCTGGTTGCTGACCCCTTTGTGCCAGGCCTGGCAGATGGGAACACTCAAGCACCTGGTGAAGTCATGTCCCCTGGGACCCCAGGGTTTCACCAGCGTTCCCAACTCTGGGAGCAGCCAGGGGCCTTGCTTGCTGTGTGGGCTGGGTGTGGAGGTGAAGGAGGTTTGGGGTTGAGGTTGTGGAGGGGAACCTGGGTCGAGCAGGGCAGTGCAGGGCTCTCCCTGCACAGGGCACCATGGTCTGCCTGCTCCCAAACCACCCCTTCTTTTGCCCCCCAGTACTTCATTGGGAACATGCTGCTGAGTCTCTTGGCCAGCTCTGTCTTCCTGCACATCAGTAGCATCGGGAAGCTGGCCATGATCTTTGTCCTGGGGCTCGTCTACTTGGTGCTGCTTTTGCTGGGTCCCCCAGCCACCATCTTCGACAACTATGACCTGCTGCTCGGTGTCCATGGCTTGTGAGTTTATCCTCAGGCCCTTTAATCCTCCAGGAACCTCCCTACCCTGCTGGGTCACAAGGAGCCTCAGTGTTGCTCAGGCCCCTTGGAATGCCACCTCTCGGCTGTGGGGGAAGGGGTCGTGGAGGAACCCATGCCCCAGCCATCCCAAGGAAACCCCAATCCTGGGAAATCCCTGTTTTTAGGCTAGACATTAAAAAAAAAAATTCCCTTTAACCTTTGCATAGTGCTCTCATCGTGACTCTTTAACCACCAGTAGATTACAGAGCCCTGGCTAGGAACCAAAACTTCTAACTTCTGCTTCAGGGCTTTTCCCTTGCAAAACCTTTGTGATATGTGGCCAAAGCTTGGTGTGGTAGGAAAAAACCCCTGAAGTCCCCTGGATTTGAATCCCTCCTCTGACCTTGGACAGGTGGTTAACCCCTCAGAGCCTCAATGTCCTGGTCTGTAAAACGTCAGCACCACCTATATAACAGGGTAGTCGTAAAGATCGCAGCAGCTAACATTTATCGAAGGCTCCCTGCATGCCAGGCACGGCGCTAAGCCTCTACATGCATTGTGTTTTCAAAAGATTCCTCTTTTATGGATGAGGAAACTGAGACCTGGTAAGTGAAGGAGCTAGGAGTGGAAACTTCCTTAATCTCAGCTCTTCATGAGTTAACAGAAACAAAAGCTCTGGCTTAATACCTAGTTTATGGTATGTGCTCAGTAAATGTAGTTTCCGGTTCCCCTTGTGAGACCCCACTCAGCAACCCAGGAAGAACTGATGGCTTCATCTTTTGTGTCCTCCTGCCAGGGTTTCTTCCAATGAGACCTTTGATGGGCTGGACTGGTAAGTGCGGGCGCTGGAGCAGCCAAGGGTAGGGCTGCCAGATACCGCCTTCAGACACCGAGCATACCTCTGCTTATCCCCAGCCCAGCTGCAGGGAGGGTGGCGCTCAAATACATGACCCCTGTGATTCTGCTGGTGTTTGCACTGGCACTGTATCTGCATGCCCAGCAGGTGGAATCGACTGCCCGCCTGGACTTTCTCTGGAAACTGCAGGTGACTCGGTGGACCCCTTGGGGGAGGGCGATGACTTTGGGGGGTAGTGTCTGGGCCAAGCCAGAAATTCATCTCCTTAGCTGGCCAAGTTGTAGGCTGCCCTAAGTCCACTCTGGCTCTGTGCCTTCTTCTACCATTTCCTATCCCTGCTTCATCCGGCCCCTGCCCCGCTTCACACCACTGCCTGTTCTAGAGGCTTCCTCTGTCAGTGCCTTTCTTCTGCCACGTGATTCCTTTCAATGCCCATTCCCAGGCCTTGGCCGCTCACCCACCCCTGGTGAATGTTGGGCAACGGGTGATGGGCGTGGTGTCCACAGGCTACAGGGGAGAAGGAGGAGATGGAGGAGCTCCAGGCCTACAACCGGCGGCTGCTGCACAACATTCTGCCCAAGGATGTGGCCGCCCACTTCCTGGCCCGGGAGCGCAGGAACGATGAGCTTTATTATCAGTCGTGTGAGTGCGTGGCTGTCATGTTTGCCTCCATTGCCAACTTCTCTGAGTTCTACGTGGAGCTGGAGGCAAACAATGAGGGCGTGGAGTGCCTGCGGCTGCTCAATGAGATCATCGCCGACTTTGACGAGGTGCTTATCTGGCTGACTGGTGCTGCAGAGAGTGGGGAGGTTTGGGGAGAGAGGGGTGGGGAGAACTTGGCATGAGAAGGCCAGGATTGAAGCGGGTGGGAGGAGGAAGAGAGATTGGATGGCACCCCATGATGTTAGGTGTTGGGGTACGGTAGGGTACAATGCAGGTGGGGATCGGGACCCCTGAAGGTCAGCCCCGGTGGGGCATGCTCGTTGTTGGGGAGCAAAGGAGGACAGCAGGACCTGTGGAGGGACTGGAACCACACTGATGTCTGTAGACAGCCCCATAAGGTCACGTCAGCAAGGGGGCCCCCTGAACAGAGGAAATAGAAGCAAAAACGTGAGGCGTGTCCTTAGCACCCAGGTCAGGAATGGGCCGGCCGCTGCTTGGGAGGGAAGTCTCTTCCTCACTCTGTGGCTCAGCTTTTGGTGCCTAATGTCCCTTCTGAGATTCTGGGTTGTGTGAGTGAGCTGCTGAGGCTGACCTGAAGCTGGATGCCTACGGCCAGGCCTGGCTTCTGATGGCTGCGTGGTGAGGCACCTGTTTTCCTGACGCCTCAGCCCTGCGCTGAGAGCAGCAGCGGGAATGGGGGTGTGATCACTGAGAGGAGGGGAGCTGTTGAGACAGGGAAGTGGGGAAAGGAGCCAAGGCCTGGCAGGGAAGGAGCATGGGGTGGGTCTGGGCTTGGCCTTTTTGCCTTGACAGCCAGGTGCCCCTGTGCTGCCCAGATTATCAGCGAGGAGCGGTTCCGGCAGCTGGAGAAGATCAAGACGATTGGCAGCACCTACATGGCAGCCTCCGGGCTGAATGCCAGCACCTACGATCAGGTGGGCCGCTCCCACATCACTGCCCTCGCTGACTACGCCATGCGCCTCATGGAGCAGATGAAGCACATCAACGAGCACTCCTTCAACAACTTCCAGATGAAGATCGGTGAGCGGGCTGGTGGCCGGGTGGGCTTCCAGAGCTGGCTGCGGGAGCAGGCCGGGCTCTCAGGCCCCGTGAGGACTCCTGTGGGGTTTCCTTTTCCCACCTCCTGTGTCATCTGATATTAAGAACAGAGATCATTTATGGAGGGATAGGTGCCACCCCAGGCATTTTCGAGCACATTTTGATCCTCATGTTATTGTCCCCTTTGCATAGAGACTGACTCTCAGATTAAGTAACTGCCAAGCTTAAACAACTAGTAAGTGGCTCAGCTGGGATTCAAACCCAGGTTTATCTAAACGCCAGTACCTGTGTCCTTATCTGTGACTCGTCTGATAAGAGGCGCTTTTTCTGCATGAACTGGTGGGTGGGAATGGTCCATAGCAAGGATTCTGGAGTCAAACTGTCTGGTTTGAATTCTGGCTGTTCCACTTACCAGTTTATTTAGCAACTCATCTAACTTCCATAGGTTTTAGTTACCTTATCTGTAAAACGGGGATTAAGATATCTACCTTTTAAGGCTGTTAAGATGAAATGATGTAAAATGCTTAGCAGTGTGGTTGGTAGAGAGTGGCAGGTTAACCTCCTGGCTCGGGGAGCTCCTCAGCTAACATAGCCGCTGCCTCTTTTTTTTTTTTTTTAAGATTTATTTATGCACACAAGAGCTGGGGTACAGGCCAGCGGTGCGGGGGGTGAGAGGATTCACCAGAGACAGAGTGGGGAGCAGACCAGGCAGAATGACTAAAATACACTGCTGAGGGGAGCAGCGGGCGAGACAGGAGAGGTCTGCCGCGCCATGTGGGTTCTCCCTGGCCGGGGATCGAACTTGTGCTGCAGAGGCTGTGATTGCTTCATAGTGCGGTGCTTAACCCCTTGCACCACCAGGGAGTCCCACCTCTTTCATTTTTTATAGCCAGCAGACTTGTACTTTTCCCTCTTTCTTCTCTGGGTCCTTCTAAAGGTGCCAGGAGGTGGGATGACCTCCTGGGCTAACCCAGGAGCGCCCATTAGCCTTAATTTCTTGCTGCTGTCTCTACCACAGGGCTGAACATGGGCCCCGTCGTGGCAGGCGTCATCGGGGCTCGGAAGCCGCAGTATGACATCTGGGGGAACACAGTGAATGTCTCTAGCCGGATGGACAGCACAGGTGTCCCTGACCGCATCCAGGTGAGGGGGATGTGAGCAGAGCCTGGGCGGGGTTTGGATTGAGAGGTTTCTCTCTGTCAGTCAGCCAGGACTGGGCCGTGTTCTGGGGTTGGTGGGGCGGGGTTGTGGAGCCAGCTAGTCTGACTAGAGAACCCCTGGGCCCCTGCAAATGCAGCAGGAAGGACCCCAGGCTAAGCAGGCTCCCCCCCACCCCCACCCCCAGGTGACCACGGACCTGTACCAGGTTCTAGCTGCCAAGGGCTACCAGCTGGAGTGTCGAGGGGTGGTCAAGGTGAAGGGCAAGGGAGAGATGACCACCTACTTCCTCAATGGGGGCCCTAGCAGTTAGCAGGACCCACCTGCAAATTCAGCTGAAGAGACCTCGGTGAGCATTTGAGCGGATTCTGTGCTCGCTGGTGGAGCCGTGGCAGGGGTCACTGAGCCGCCAGAGCCTGCGGACCACAAAAGGGAATACCCCAGCAGGCTGTGCTTGGACCCTGCTCGTCTGCCCTCAGGCTGGTGAATGAGGGAATACCAAGAGGATTATGCAAGTGACTTTTAAACTGGGTTAGAGTTGCCCCTTGCCTTTCTTCCAGCTTTCGGGAACAGGGGATGGGGCGGCAGCAGAGGCAGAGCGCGCCCTCCTGCCTGAAGATTAAAATGGCAGCTTGCCTTGCCTACCCTTCCCCTGCCTGTCTGCAGCAGGCGCAGGGTGGGCCCTTCCTTTCCCTCTTTTTCCTGGGAATATTTTGTACGAAGACTGGGGCAGGCAGGAGGAGTGCCTACCCTGTGCTTGTCTTTGCTGTGCCTGCATCCCCAGCACCAGTTCTGGTACCCACCACCCAGCCTGGTCTTCCTCCTAGGCCGAGGAGGGAGATGCTCTGGGGGCCCAGTTCTGCTGATTTTTCAGAGGAATGTTTCCATTTGCCAAATCCTAGTCCCACGATCTGTCCCCAAAGGGGAACAACGGGACTTCTGACAGCTCAGATTCAGCTCCAGTTCCTGCATCTTTCCAGGGAAAGGGGCATCTGGCCTCACTGGTACTGTGAAAATGTTCAACCAGATGAAAAGCATGTGTGCGGGGATGTCAGACCAGGAGCTGGAAGGTCACCTGCAGGTGCCAAAGAGAGTGGACTGGCTAGGGAGGGCGCTGGTGCCAGACTCTGATCCAAGGGCCCCACCACACTCTCGCTGTCTCTTCGCCAGGGGCCACAGAGCATCTTTACCCCTTCTATTGCCAAATAGAAAAAAAATCAGGGCTGGGAAGAAGATGACCCTGATCCCAATCTTGTCCTCCCAAGCCTCTGGTGTGGGAGGCCTGTTTGTCTGTGTAACTGTGCGTGCGTGTCAGTCTTTGTGTGCGTGTCTGTCCTGCAGGGGTGTGTGCCCTTGTGCTCTTGCTCCTCAGCTCTCCACCCCAGGTTGCTTCTCTCCTGTGGGCCTCTGTCTTCTGGGAATAGGGTTTCCTATTTCAAGGGATGCACAGGAATAGGATGGGGTGTGGCAACAGGAGGGTGGCTCTGGGGAGAGGAGTCCTTTTTGTGCCAAATCCCTAAGTGCCATTTGGGGGCCATGTGTGCAGCATGACTGTCTCCCTGCCTGGAGCAGGGACCCGGGGGCCTGCTTGAGCCCCAGTGCTCCACGCACTTGAACTGTCTGGGGTTTGGTGGGCAGAAACTCAGGAATTTCCTGGGATCCCCAGCTTGTGTTCTGGGACGTGCTGAGCTTTGGGACTGGGGTAGCATGGGATCCCTCTGAGGACCCACTTACTCGGTACTAGGGAGCGTGGCAGGGGACCCTGAAACTAGGCCTTCCCCCGCTGTTAGCCTGGCTCTCGTGTGTTCCTGGCTCTCCAATCTCCATGAAGCCCGTGGGCTGGCCAGAGGGTCAGGAAGCTGGACTCTGGGTTCCCTTCTGTCCCTGCCTTCCTTGCACCCCTGTCCCGTAACCTTCCCTCTGACCTGAATTAGTTGGTACTTTGGTTTCTCTGTTTGTACCTACTTAAGCCAGAGGCATTAGCCTGAATTGTGCTTGAAGATCGCTTTATCTTGGAGGTGAGGAGAGAGGTGGGGAGAGAGGGTGACAGGGCTGGGGCATGGAAAGGGCAGGTGCCACTCTTGCCCTTCCCGATCTCGCTCCTGGAGAAGCCTGGTTCCTGACACTGCCCACCCTGTGGGATCCCCGTGAATCAACCAAATGGGCCATCAGGCACTTTACTAGCCAAGGCAGGAAAAGAGGAAAAGACTAGTGGGTCTAGCCAGAAAATCCACTCCCTTCCTATAGCCATATCTCCAGATAGGAAGGGACCGCCGGGAGCCCTGGAATGGGGGTGAAAATAGAAGTGGCCCGGAGTGGGAAGACCTCAGCCTTGGGTGGACTCGTCTTTGCTACTTGCCAGTGGGAGGTGCCTGTCTGCACCCTGACTCCCTATACCACAGTGCCAGCCACGCCGTTCCCCTGGGCTCCCACTGCACCCTTCCTCCTCAGTTGGGGGGGACGTCAGTGGACGGGAGGCCCCTGGATTTTGATTTTATAATGTAACCACTGGGGGGGGGGAGGGTGGTGTACCATGTATTTCAGTGAAATATTTAATATATTTAAGTATCAATAAAATCAGACTCTTTGTAAAATTTCCTGTTCGGTGCAGTTGTTCTGGGCCCCGGGTTGTGAGAGTGGCAGGTCCTGATGCAGGGGGCAGCTGCGCACCTGTCTTGGCTGTGGCCAGAGCTCTCCTTTGGTTTTTCCTCTGCCGAGGTAAAGCCGCGGTATCTTCAGAGAATTTTTCTAGCTCTTCAGTTCACAACGGCCATTGGTGCGTGTGCCCGTATTTGTTGCTCTGGTTCCTGCCATGCGTGAAGTTAAGACCCCTGTGGTAGTTTTTCTAGTGCTCTGGCCCTGCCCAACCAAACCCCAAGTTCTGGCTCCTTCATGAATCTTTTACACCCCTGAGCTCACAGGAATTTGCACGTTGGAATGGCTTCCCTCCCCCTCACTTCCAGTGCACACGGTGACTTTTAGTCCAATCTGTTTACTCTGCCTTTCCCATTCTCTGCCCCCAATTTGTCAGCTGAACCAGGACACCCTTCCCCTCCTCTTTCCCCTCTGTGCTTGCAGAGTCCATGCTGGGCTTCTGGAGCTCTGGCAGGCTCAGTACAGGCTGAAGAGTCTGTCATTGAGAATGGCGTGATCCATAAACCTGGAAAAGAGGGTCAGTCTCAGATTGAGCCTGGCCAGGCTGGAGTGCCTGTGTGGGAGTGGGAGTGTGTGAGCGTGTGTGTGTCTTTATCCATCCTAAACCGCTCCAGAGGCTGCCTCAGGGCAGAATGGGCAGGTGTTTGAGGCAGTAGGGCCCGTGCCTGTGGACGGTGGTTGCAGGGGAGCGGAAGGAACTGGAAACAACCCGGGACCCCCACAGGAATGCTTCGACGCTTCTCTCACGTCTGCTCAGAAGCCATACCCAGAAGGTGAGACGCCAAGACAGACAAATTTGAATGACGCCACCGCCCAGATTGTGGGGCTAGCTTTCCCTGGCCCCTGACTCGGGGTAAAGATGAAAGTCTCTAAGGATTTAAGTGAGGGGCAGGAATACTTCATCTCCCTGCCCTCACCTCTCCCAGGCTGACCTGGTCATTGGGCTTTTGATGAGGCTGTGTCGGGGGCTCTGGATCCACGGCATGGCCTTCTCCGGGCGCACTCCTGGATCATGGGACCGCCAGAAGCTGAAGTTCTGAGCATCAGTCAAGGGGACTTTGAAGACCTGATTGGGAACTGAATGGTTGGGAGGAAGGCAGTTACTCCATTTCTTGTGAGAGTTGTCTGCTCCCTTTGTGCTTCAGGGCACCAGCCACCCAGCCTGGCGACTGGGTCTGACCAGGTGCCGAGCAGTCCTGAGAACTCGGGCACCACACCCAGCCTCGCTTCCGGATTCCAGCACCTCACGCCCTTCACGGTCACTTAAGTCAGTCTTGGTTCTCCCCGGTGCCAGTCAGCCCATCTCTATGAACGCCATCTCCAAATACCAAGATGGTAGAAAAACAAGTGCTCAGCCCACTTGGGAAATGTGCAAGATGGGGCCACTGTGGTTTTTTTTTTTTTTTAACCCTTTCCCCTCCTTTCCAAAACAAATCCTTCTTTTTGCTCATTCCAGGTAATTCTCTAAAACAATGATAACACCTTGTGTTTACATACTACTGATTGATATAATTTATTAAGTGCCTATGCAGTTCTAAATGTTGTATTAGGTGTTTTAAAATTTTTGAAATAATATCATCTAGATTTATCTTTGTATTTGGATATACCAGTGTATTAAACTTGTGGGTTTTTTTGAAATGTAGAGTTATAATCTGGCTACCTCATCTTTTATAGTTGTTTAAAAAAATTAATATTCCATTGAGCAGATGTTTTCCTATTAATTGATAATAAGCTTTTAAAAAGTTTTACTATTAGAAATAAATTCTAGTTACTTTTCTTCATGCATATTTGAAAATTTCTGAAAGTATTTTAGCTTTTTATTTATTTTTCACTTTTTTTTAAATTTTTGCATAGAAGAACTAAGGTGTAGGTCAGAGGTACAGGGGTGGGGGCTGGAGGTGAGAGGATTTACCAGGGACAGAGTGAGCAGAACAGGCGGATTTACTACACTGCTGAGGGGAGCAGAGGGTGAGATGGGAGAGGTCTGCTGTACTATTTGTGGGTCAGCTCCCTGGCCAGGGATCAAACTCAGGCCATAGCGGTGATAGTGCTGAGACTTAACTCCTAGGCCACTAAGGAAGCCCCTGTTAGCTTTTTAAATTAAACTTTAATTTTGAGATATTTATAGATTCACATATAGTTATTACAAGAAAATGATTGGAGAGATCTGTGAACTCTTTACCCAACCCCCCACCCCCACCCCCAGTGGTACATCTTGCAAAATGCTAGCACTGCATTACAACCAGGACAGGAACATATTGATACAGAACAGTTTCATCACCACATCATCCTGGATTTGCCCTTTTATAGCTAAATCCCCTCCCCTTTGGCAATCAACACTTTGTTTTTCATTTCTGTAGTTTCGTCATGTTAAGAATGTTATATAAATCACATATACTATGTGATCTTTTTGGGGTCAGCTTTGTTTACCTAAAAATATTCCCGGAGATTCTCAGAAGTTATCACATGTGTCAATTATTTGTCCTAGGTGCTTTTTTAAATGTACATTTTCTCGGGGTCTCCCTCGTGGCGCAGGGGTTAAGACGCAACCTATGAAGCTATTCATAGCCACTGCAGCACGAGTTCCATCCCCGGCCAGGGAGCAACCCCCATGGCACAGCCGACCTCTCTTGACTCACCTGCTGCTCCCCTCAGCAGTGTATTTCAGTCACTCTTCCTGTTCTGTTCCCCACTCTGTCTCTGATGAGTCCTCTCAACTCCCCGCACCTGTACCCCAGCTCTTGTATGCATAAATAAATAAATCTTTAAAAAAAAAATGTACATTTTCTCTAACTTCCACAACAGTGCGATAGTATTACCATTTTCAGGTGGATCAGAGGGGTTAAGTGCTAAAAGGAACTTACCCAAGGTTATACAACTTGTTTGGCGTTTAAATTCAGTTCAATCAGATTCCAGAGCTAGTACTTGTTCTACCACTTCTCACAGGCATAGCACATAATATGCAAAGTATTTTCCTAAATTGTCAATTTTGATTTGATCCTTACAGCAATTCTTTAAGCTTAGTAGGGTAGGCATTTTTTTTTTTAAATGAATGAAAAAGAAGAAAGGATAAGTGAGTACCCAAGGTTAAGAGATTCAAAAGAGGCAGAACTAGGACTTAAACCCGGGTCTTCTGCTTCCAAGTGTGACTCAACTATTATTTTATTATGCGCACCTACTTTCTCCTCTTCTTAGTCTCTCTTCTTGGCTCTTTTTATGCCCCTGTGCCTGCACACCCAGTCATTTTTTAAGAACTCAGACATATCTGAGATCCTTCTGCCCTTCAAATGGTACCTACTCCAAGATACTTACATGTCTTTAACAACACCTTCTGCACAGCTTCACGGTACTTTGTGTGGCTATTCTGATGCACAGAGTAATTCCCATCTGCTGAGATAATCGGTGGCAGCCTGGTGGGCACCGATTCCTTCTGGCCTGAAATGAGAGCCAACTTACTCTAAGCACTTGGCAAATGGGACAATTTGATTTTCTGATTCCCTTATCTCCATGCCAACCAGGCACCTGTCAGGGATCTCTCCTAGCTACTCATTCTCAGGTTCTCAAGTGTGAAATCACAATGCCTGTGACACAAAAGAATCACAAGTCCTCCTGCATTACTCTGCTCCTCCCTGACTCCTGGATTCTGAGTGGCCTCCTGCTGGAATCAGGGTATTGACAGATACTTAGGTTTAGTGCAGGTGAAAAAGGCCCCTTATCAGGATGGACACTCCTGGGATTGGCATATTTAAAAACTTCAATTGGTTTAATAGGGAAAGTATGTTTGAGCTAAATTTTGGAGGAAACGTAGGAGTTTCTGGGACATCGTATCAGGAAGAATATTTTGGGCAGCAGGATAGCCAGTGTGGTAGAATAGAGAGGTCTCAGGAAGCTTGCTTTTGACTCTGAGCCTGATTAGTGCTGAATACAGTAGAGAGTAACAGTGGATGGGGCTAGAAAAGTGATGTAGAGAAGGGTAGAGCAGTGCAGTATAGACTTAGCATGGGGGTTAGCAAACCCTCTCAAAGGCAAAACCTGTATCTCACTATATAGGCTGAAAAGACTAGATCTTCCTTACCTAGTACTATGGTCTGAATGGTTGTGTCCCCGCTAAATTCACACATTGAAATTTTAATGTCCAAGGTGATGGTATTTGGAGACGGGGCCTTTGGGAGATGATTAGCTCACAAGGGTAGAGCCCTCATGAATGGAATTATGTCCTTATAAAAGAGGCCTGAGAGTGCTTGCTTGCTACCTCTGCCATGTGAGGATACAGAGAGAAGTTTGCATCCTGGAAGAGGGCCCTTGCCAAACCTTGCTGGTACATGTTTCTCAGGTTTCCAGCCTCCTGAACTGTAAGAAATGCATTTCTCTTGTTTATAATGAGCCACCCAGTCTGCAGTATATTCTTATACCAGCCTGAACCAATTAAGATAACCTGCCTCTCTTGCAGCTAGGGCCTGGGCAAATAATTTTGTGTAAGGCCAATCAAACAGATCTGCCCCAGATTTGAAGCAAAGATGAGGTTGCAAAGAAGCAAGGGACCGGGTCAAGTTTTTTTTTTTCTTCTGTTGCTGGGAAGTGGTAGCAATGAAGCTAATTCTGGTTTCAAGGCCCGGCACCCTGGGTGCCAGGGTACCCACCACAGCACTGAACAGCATAGCATCTACAGCCAAGCGGGCCTGCATGACTATGGACATTGCTTCTGGTTACTATCTGCCAAGCTTGGGCTCTATCTTGCTTCTACATCTTTGTTTTTAATATCCAAAAGGACAGGTTTATTATGTAGGAAGGAAAGCACACTCGCAGACAAGCAGGCAGAAAGAGCTGCATTTTTTAAAGTAGTAGGTTTAAGAGACGCCTGCACAGACACACACAGGCAGGAGAGCCACACTTCTATGTTTATGTGCTTCCCAATATTCTTTTTTAAAACTCTGATAGTTATAATTGATATACTTACTTAATATATATAAATAAATGTTTTGAAATAAAACATCTGTGAAACCATCAGCACAATCTATGCCATAAACAAGTCTATCACATCCCTTGCCCCCTCACTTTACTTACTGTTATTATTTTGTGATAAGAACATTTGACGTAAGATCAACCCTAGTACATTTTTAAGTACATAATTTACTATTAACTGTAGGCTGTAGGCTTTATAGCTCTCTAGGACTTAATCATGTTGTATAACTGAAACTTTGTTCTCTGACTGCCACCTCCCAGCCTCCCTCTCACTCCCCTCATCCTCTGGCATCCTCATTCTCTTCTCTGCTTCCATGAGATGGATTTCTTTCGATTCCTCATATAAGTGGTATCATGCAGTATTTGTCCTGTGTCTGGCTTATTTCACTCAGCATTCTCTCTTCTAGATTCATCTATGCTGTTGCAAATGGAAGGATTTCCTTCCTTTTAGCGGGTGAATAATATTCCATTGTATATGCATTTCCGTTATCCATTCATATGTTGATGGACATTTATGTTGCTTGTTTGTCTTGGCTATTGTGAATAATACTGCAATGAATATGGGAGTATAGTTATCTCTTTGATATCTACATTTCAGTTCCTTTGGGTGTATACCTAGAAGTGGGATTTCTGGATCATATGATAATTCTATTTTTAAGTTTTTGAGGAACCTTCATAATACTATTTTCCAAGTGGTGCACCAATTTATATTCCCATCAGCAGTGCTGAAGAGTTCCCTTTTCTCCCCGTCCTCATAAAAGACTTGTTATCTTTTCTTTTTTAATACTAGGCTACTTACACAGGTGTGAGGTGGATTTAATTTATATTTTCCTGATAATTTAGTGGTGTGAAACATCTTTTCCTATACTTGTTGATCAGTTTTGTGTCTTCCTTGAAGAAATGTCTATTCAGTTTTTTCCCCCCATTTTTAAATTGGATATTAACCCTTTATCAGCAACATAGTTTGCAAATACTTTCCTCCATTTTAGGTTGCCTTTTCATTTCCTTTTTTCTTGGCTGTGCAGAAGCTTTTCAGTGTGATGTAATCTCATCAATATTCTTTTTAATAAATTCATGCTCTGCTTAAATAGGCTAGATTTGACTTGCATCTCAGAATCCTGGGCATGTTAGAATCTATATCAAAATTTGTCATTTTCTCTAGAAAGATCCTTGACTCATCTCTGATGGAGAGTGGGAATGCCACTTCTGTTCCTGAGTTCTTCCCCAGTTCCTACTTTTCCTCTTCTTCTGGGCGTGGCCCTACTGATTCACCATCTTGATCCCCCCTCTCTCACTATTGCACATCAATGGAAAAAAGCTTGAATACTCTTTGAGATAATGACACCACCAAAGGGGGGGTAGTGCTTGAATCCTCTCGCAACAGTTGAGGACATGGAGAGGCAGCAGAATAGAGTTCTGGAACCTGGATTGAATTAGGTTCGTACTTCATCATAAGTCACAGCAATGAGAGGTCATTCCCGGGAAGCATTGTCACTTGATTTTGTTGTTTGACTTTGAGCAAAGTAGGTGTGGCACGATGTCTGTAGCAAAGTAGATGCAGACTGAGGAAAAAGAGCAAGAGCATATTCCTAGCAGGCAACAGGACCTCAACTGGGATAAAAATTGGTCTGGACACAGATGACAGCAGAGCTCTTTATCTGGCCCTGAAGCCTCAGACTGTCCTCTGGGGTACAACCAAATGATGTTTTCTATTATTTCGATTTCCAGTGCTAACCACATGCTTGGAGGCCTGCCGGACGGTGTCACTCCCTTACATGGCTTCCTTCTGAATCAAGCACCAGTTGCCATGCTCCTCGCTTCAGTTTGGCAAGCTGGAAAATGATCTTGGAAACCCATAAATTCCCCAATCTGCCAAGGTTTAGAAGCCCCCTGGGGTGAAAGGTGGCAAGGGGTAGGTGGGGAGTCATGCCAAATTACCGTGAAAGGGCACTATTGGGTGGAGGCAATGCAATGAGTTCTTTATGAGCAAACTCTACTGTGACAAGGTAGATGAATCCATTATTTTGGAGAGGTTCTTCATCCAGCCAGTTAATAAGCTTCATATGATTTTTGGTGGTAAATAAATAGCAAGTATCCCAAAGAGCTTCTTTTTGAACTGGGCCATAAGTTGGGAGTTGCCAAAAGATCACATTTAATGCTTTGAAAGGACATCTGGGGTGGTGTAAAAGGACTTGGGTGGATCTTCCACTTACCCAATTTAATGTTGCAGATTTCTCAGAACTCTAGGCTTTCAAGGTGGTCACAAGGTCTTAGTTATCTACTCCCTTGCTCATGAGTTGGAACTGTGACTGACTGACCACATGTTTTCAGGTTGCAGAATTTTTAGAATAGATTACTTCAGTAGCACTCAGAATTCTGACTTCCAGGTTAGGGTATCTGCTTGGCTGTCACAGACGCTTAATACATAGTGAAAAAATATTTAATACATGTTGCAGTTGTCTTGAAGTGGGTGTTGCCGCAAGCTGAGTAATACCACACTGACTAGAAATTCATACAAGATCAACTTGAGGAAAAAGGCTGTGGTATGACCGCACATAAAAAACAAACAAGAAGACTATTCCTGTCTGGGAGGTTATTACCCGGTGCTGGGCATTAATCCCTTGAAGTTGGCTGGAGCGTTGATAGATTGAAATTGGCTGAAGTGTTTTAAAGCCTACCTTGCATTTATTGTCTTCCCTATTATGAGGAAATTGTCAGTACTTTGGAAGGAAGTGGATTGGAGCAGGAACCCAGGGAATTAGACCAATCCCACGGCACACTTTGCAGAGTTCCTTTGCTTCCACATCTAAAAATGTTTTCCTTGAAGTGGTGCACTCGTTTGGGGTTCTTAGCAGAGGGGAAGTAAGATGGGGCACAAGATAACAGGGAGGTTTAGTGCTGGCTGCAAAGGCTGATATAAAATGGCCGACTCAGATCTTTTAGAGATAACAGCAATAAAAGAGCTGCTACTTACTGAATATGCTTGGCATAACTATAAAATATGCACTATTATTATCTTACTTAGCAAATGGGAAAACCGAGGCCCAGAGTTCAGTAATTTGCCCCAAATTACATAACTATCATATGGAAAAGATATGAGTTTAACCCAAGCAGTTTTGTTACAGAACTCATGCTCATAACACCACACTAAACTGGCTCTTGAAGTAATTGAATCAGGGCTTCTAGGAAAGGCCCGGACTAAAGGAAAACATGGATTGACAGAATAAATATTCTTAATGGGGTCCCCTGTCGATGGGGTCCTGTCAGGAGTGTCTGCTTACCCTGGAGCAACCTGAGTTGGGTGGGAGATATGATAGCCTCACTTAGACTCAGAGGCAGAGCCCTGCCTCCCTAGGGTGACTGGAATGTAGGGTATCATTCCCTGTGGTAGCATAGGTGGGAACAGATAGGTAGGATTAGAACCTGGTAGGATACTCTGCTGGTGGATTGAACTAGTCCCGGGGGACGTGGGGGTGGGGGTGGAGACGGAACCCCTGTGGAAAAAGTGGCCTGCTTGATGCAACACAGACAGTCACCCACCCTGTTGTTGGGTCCACTTTGGGCTTTGTCAGCTGATAGGTATAAATAGCTTGAGTACACTCTGCTCTAGCTTCAGTGATAGGAGATGGTGGTCTAGAGCAGCTACAAAACTCGTAAGTTGTTTCCAAGATACATTCTATAACTTCAGTGGGTCTATCCATTTGGAACGACTTTGGCCGGTTCGTTCTTGGCTGATCTGTGCTGCTCCTGCTCGCTTCTGTCTGTAAAGTCAGAACTATAGTGCCCTCTGCTGGATTCTAAGGGTGGCATCCCCAGCTCTCTCCTGACCAGTGCGTCAACAACCAGCTTTGGACAGGCCCAGGAGACCAAGGAGATTGAGCAGTGGACATTCCAACCAAGGTGGGAGATGCCACCTTTTATCCTCTGACAGATCCAGAAAATGAGAACTCAAGTGCGATGTGCTCAGCTTTTATCAAAGACTTGAGATAGAGCCTTTCTTTAAAGAGATTCATTTGGGACTGGAAGAGCAACTCGGAGTTTGAATTCCTCTGGGATGATGAATGCCCAAGGCAACTGTGTGTATGGGGGGAGGGGGGGTGGGGACTGGGGGGTGGGGGCTGCTAGCATGTGCAGAGCATGTAAGTCGTCATGTCTGTGTCTAGAAGGCAGTCACTGAGGAGTTAGGCAGAGTGAGGTTTTTTGTCTCAAGACAAGAACAAGTACAATCTCTTCTTACAACCTACCCCCATTGATTTGCCCCGAAGATGCCTGTCAGTGGACAATTCTCAGAGTATAGAGAAGTGTCAAGGTGAAGTCTACCTTGACCTAGGGTTTTTGTATAACAAGGCGGGGGAATTTGTCTGAAATCAAGACTGAGATATTCTTGGGCCAGGTATGAAGTAGACAGGAAAGGGGGTGTTCAAAGTAGGTAGTGAGACTCAGCCAAAGGGCTATGCTACTGTGGGCAGGACAGAGAAGGGAGAGCTCAGCAGTCAAGACACCAGAGCATAAAGTGAACAAACTCTGGAAGCCAGGCTGAACCTGCAGGGGCAGCCAGGATTGGGATTAGGATTAGGGTGAATCTGGGAGGGCAGGAATCTACTGCTAGGTAGACATGAGTGTTCTAGTACTAGGCAAAGGTGGTCTTCTGTGAGAAGCTGTAGCTGACCACGATCTTTCAGGGACTGGAAGGCGACCTTTGAAGCCAATCAACATTTGCTGCCCTTAAGGAATCTTATGATTAAAATAATTACTTTGCAGGTACCTTATCCTGGCGAGTATTGCTGAGAAGGGGATGAAGGTGTATCAGTCAGGGGAAAGGTATATATTCTGTATGTAAATATTAACATGCCTATTATAATTCATAACTTTCCTCGATCTGTTGTGCAGTTTTATGTGCTGTGTCATAGGTGTATTACATATATCATTTCATTTAATCTCCACAATAAATCCCTAAGGCAGATGTTATTGTCTCCATTTACAGGTGAGGAAACTGAGGCACTCTGAATTTATTTAGTGTGTATTAGCCCCCTGCATCTGAACAACTTTGGGCACCTGAGAAAACCGAGTTTCTAAAGTTGAGGGTAGGCCAAATATGTTCTCCACACCCCATTTTCCTCTCTTTTTTTCTATTTTGGTTTCTTTATTAGGAGGAAAAGGAAGGAAGGAGGCAGGGACTAGCAGAATATTTGGTTACATGTGCTGACTCACCTCTTGAGTTTTCATCATGACTACAGTGAGGAAAGCTGGGGTGGACCCTTTTATTTATTTTTATTTTTTTAAAGATTATTTATTTATTTATACAAGCACTGGGTACAGTCAGAAGCGTGGGAGGGTGAGAGAATTCACCAGAGCCAGAGCAGGGAGCAGAGCAGGCAGAAGGACCGAAGCACACTGCTGAGGGGAGCAGCGGGCGGCAGGAGAGGTCTGCGCGCCATGTGGGACCCTCACCCAGTGGCCAGGGATCGAACCAGGGCTGCAGAGGCAGCTTCCCAGCCCAGCGCTCAACCACTGCGCCACAGGGGAGGCCCTGGGTGGACCCTTTTAAATGAATACATTCATACGTACTAGGAGGGGGAAAAAAATCCTATTTCTCTTCAAAGAAAAAACTTTAAACTATCATTATAGTAAGAGTGTTACCTCTTACTAATACTAATAATAAAAATTATTAGTATTAATAGGTTCATTTTTATTGTTGCTATTAAAATCCTAGCTGAGGGTCCAGGAAAGAGTGTGGCTGATTTGAGCATGGAAAACAGGTTGAAGTGTAGGTAGACAAAAAAGGCACAGCAGACCTCTCCTGCCGCCCGCTGCTCCCCTCAGCAGTGTACTTCGGTCCGTCTACCTGTTCTGCTCCCTGCTCTGGCTCTGGTGAATTCTTTCACCCTCTCGCGCCTCTGGCCTGTACCCCAGTTCTCGTATAAATAAATAAATCTTTTAAAAAAATGCAAAAAAGTAAGAAGCTCAACAGCTGAGATGAAAAAATCTGGAAAAAGTCAAGAAAGTAGAATAAGCAAAATGCAAGAACATATCAGTGCGCTCAAAGATGCAAATGTGGAAAGATTCATAATAGAAAAACAGAGAAAAAGGAAAAAAATGAAGAAACACTTCAAGAATTACCTTTTGACAATACCATGAGGAAAGGAACTACAAGAATCATCCCAGAGGGAGAGTGAGAAGGAAACTGAAACACTAAAGAAATAATGGAAGAAAACTTCCCAAACTTAGAGGGAAATGAACACACAAATACAGGAAGCAAAATGAACACCAAGGTACCTAACAAAAAGAAACCTACAGTGCGACATACAGTAGTAAAACTTCCAAGAGTCTAAGACAAAGAAAACAATAATGAAGCTGGCAAGGGGGAAGAAACATAACACATAAGGTCACCCCATTAGATTAACATCAGACTTCTCTGAGGAAATGCTCCAAGAAAAGACTTGAGCAACATTCAAAATACTTCAAGATGGAAATTGCCAACCAAGAATACTCTCCATCCTGCAAAACTCTCATTCAAATGAGGAAGAAATATGGGCCTCCCCGGTGGCGCAGCGGTTGAGCGTTGGGTTGCGAAGCTGCCCGCGGCCTCTGTGGCACTGGTTCAATCCCCGGCTGCTCCCCAGCCACCGGAGGAGGGTCCCACATGGCGCGCAGACCTCTCCTGCCGCCCGCTGCTCCCCTCAGCAGTGTACTTCGGTCCTTCTGCCTGCTCTGCTCCCCGCTCTGGCTCTGGTGAATTCTCTCACCCTCCCGTGCTTCTGACTGTACCCAGTGCATGTATAAACAAAACAAACAAACAAATAAATAAATAAAAACATGCCTCTATTAAAAAAAAAAAAAAATCTTTAAAAAAAAAAAAAAAAAAAAAAAAAACAAATGAGGAAGAAATAAAGATGTTCTCAGACAGATCTTAGGGAGTTTGCAACTACTAAACCCCACCTCCAAAAAAAATAAAAGGAGTTTTAGTATTTAAACCAAAGGGAGGAAAAACCACCAAAAAACTGAACAAGCAATTAAAAAACTACGAACAAAATGACAGCAGCAAACTTTCACCTATCAATACTCATTCTATATGTAAATGGACTGAACTCACCAATAAAAAGACACAGTGCATCGAGTTGGATCAGGAAACCCAATCCAACTTTATGCTGAATACAGAAAACACACATCAGGTCCAAGGATAAACACAGACTGAAAGTAAAGGGATAGAAAACAATTGCACAATCAAATGGCACCCAAAGGAAGGCAGGGACAGTCATACCATAAGACAAAGACAAACCTTGAAAGCTGATCATAAATATGAGGCATCCAGAAGGATAGGGTAGGCGGAGGGAGAGTGGAAGAGTGAAAACAGAAGAGTGAAAACAAAGAACACTTTGGCATATGACTAAGTCTACCAGAAGGGGCACAATGTGGTGGGGTGTTAGCAAAGGGGAAAAGGGTGTCCAATGGAGGCTCACTGGGGCTTTTTGTGATGGTGAAATAACATACATTTGTAGAGGTGCAAACTATACCCCTAAGACACATACTGTGATGTAAATCAACACTACCTCAATAAATATAACCAAAAAATTAGCTATTATTTGAAAATAATAAGCAAATGAATGAATAACAATACATTAATTTGATTAAACTGGATGTCTTAATAAGGTTATTAAGTGACAGGAGAAGGATGACTTAATAAAGATATTAAATGACAGAAGGAAACTGAAAGATACTCTCCCAACGCCATAATTTTAACTTAGTGTGCTTACAGTCATGGGGGGGGAATTTTATAACCCAAGGTAAGAAAATAAATGTCTAGGAAGTAGCCCCTCTAATTCTCGCCTCTATATTTCCCTTACTTGTTTCTTCGGTTGTGTTCCTTTTTTTGTTGTGAAAGAAATTTTGATAACCCAATAGATATAAGTTGAAGAAGGCCATCACAATTCTTCCCTGTCCTCTTCTGGAATGTCCAGGCTGGGGCACTGGACACTGTGTTCGGTAACCATGGAATGTCCAGAAGAATTTCCATGACTGACACTGCCTTTCTCTGATAGGCACAAGATTTTGGGGTTTCATTGTGGAGTTGGAGTGGGACTAGCCTAAATAACTTCAGGAAAATGGAGGTTTCAAGTGTCAGTGCCCTTTTTATTGTCTAATTAATACCATAAGCTTCAGAAGGCAGTGAGGACAGAGCAGTGACCTGGGTGCAAATCTTAGTTTTGCCATATTCCAGGTGTCTGATTTTGAATAGAGCCTGTTTTATAATTAAAAAGGTGGCAGTGGGCCTCCCCTGGTGGCGCCGTGGTTGAGCGCTGGGCTGCGAAGCTGCCCGCAGCCTCTGCAGTGCCTGTTCCATCCCCGGCCACCGGCAAGGGTCCCACATGGCGCGCAGACCTCTCCTGCCACCCACTGCTCCGCTCAGCAGTGTTCTTCGTCCTTCTGCCTGTTCTGCTTCCTGCTCTGGCTCTGGTGAATTCTCTCATCCTTCCATGCTTCTGACTGTACCCAGTGCTTGTATGAATAAATAAATCTTAAAAAAAAAAAAAAAAGGTGGCAGTAACATCTATTTCATAGAGCTATGAGAGTGAAATGGAACTACATATGCAAATTTCCCCTGCATATGATAGAACCTCAACAAACTATTTAAATCTGAATATGGCACATCCAGTGAGTCATTATTTTATTTATTCATGCATACAAAAGCTGGGGTGTAGGTCAGAGGCGTGGGGGGTGTGAGGATTCACCAGAGACAGAGTGGGGAACTGATTGACTGAAATATACTTGATTGACTGAAATATACTTCTGAGGGGAGCAGCAGGCCAGGCAGGAGAGGTCTGCTGTTGCTATGTGGGTCAGCTCCCTGGCAGGGGGCAGCTTGACAGTGCTGAAACGTAAACCCCTGCACCACCAGGGAGGCCCCCTATATTGACTTTTGAAAGTTGCTTCTTAAATCTTCAGGAACTTAGCAAGCTGTTCCTTTTAATAAGCCATTATTTAAAATGATCTGAATTTACAGCTGAACATTATATTAAAAATAGCTAACATTAAGAACTCATCTCTTCCTAATTATTTTACTACTTATGTTCATGAGTTTATTGTACGTGGATGTCCTATACTCTTTTCTGTGCTTTTCAGTTTGGGAACTTTCTAGTGAGAGTTTCAAGCTCATTGATTATTTTCCTGCTTGTGTCCAGTCTACTGAAAAATCCACCGAAGGCATTCTTCATTTCTGTGTTTTAGATTTCTAGCACTTCTTTTTGAGTCTTTTTTAGAATTTTTATCTCTTTGCTTATGTTACTACTCTGTTGTTGCATGTTGTCCACTTTTACTATTAGCATGTTAGTTATTTTAAATTCCCAGTTTGATAATTGCAAAATTTCTGCAGTATATGAGTCTGGTTTTGATGCCGGTTTTGTCTCTTTAGACTGTATTTTTTTTTACCTTTTAGCACAACTGTAATTTTTTTGTTCAAAGTCAGACATGATGTATTGGGTAAAAGGAATTGGTTGGGGGTTACACTGTGTTTACTTTTTGTTGGTGTCACAGGCTAAAATTTCCGTTGATGTCCATCTCACCCCCCCCCCCCCGCCGCCACCCTTGTTATTTCTTGAGTCCTTAAATAGGGCCTGATTTTATAATTCTTTCAGTTGTAATCCTGTGCTATTCTATATAGAGCCCTACTGATGTTGGTAAAATGTGGGGGGGGGGGGGAAGCTCTCTGTAGTCACGTCTGTCCTTTAGTGAGCCTGTGTCCCTGGGCTGTGACCTTCACAAATGCTTCATCGTCCCTCCCACCCAGGAAAAACAAGAAGCCTCACAGGAGGCTGGAGTTGGGTATTTTCCTTCTCTCACATTGGTTTGGTTCTGTTAAATAGCTTGTTTGCTATGGGCGAATTTCTGAATGGCTTCTTTTCCCCTCGTCCTGCTGGAAGAATTACAGGATTTTTCTCTAATCTTCATGGTGAGACCCATGGGATTCCAGGAGGTAAAACACAAAAACCTGGGGTATCCCTTAAGATTGGGACCCCAGGAGTTTTAAAAATATTTCTCAATCTAATCCATGTCTAGTCTTCAACAATTAATCAAATGCCCTTTAACTACAGCTGAATCTGTTAGTGGGAAGACTGAGGGGCACCAGGGGATTTAATGGGTTCTGCCGTCTCCACAGACAATTGTGCACAACAAAGAGAACATCAATAGTTTCTAATAAAACTCCCAAGTTAGGGCCTCCCTGGTGGCACAAGGGGTTAAGACACAACCTATGAAGCTCGCCATAGCCACTGCAGCATGAGTCCGATCCCCGGCCAGGGAGAAACCCACATGGTGCAGCAGACCTCTCCTGGCTTGCCTGCTGCTCCCCTCAGCAGTGTATTTTAGTTGATCTGCTGATTCTGTTCCCCACTCTGGTGAATCCTTTCACCCCCTCACCTCTGGCCTAAACCCCAATTCTTCTATGCAAAAATAAATTAAAAAAAAAAAGTGGCAAAGTTAAAAAAAAATCCTGGTAACTTAAAAGAATTATAAGAATGTTTGCTTCATTTACAATGAAAGACTATATTTTTTATAAATTGTATGCTACATGTATCAGTAAATTTTATAATCTACTTACATGCATATACATACACATAAAATTTTTTTTCTGCATAGCCAGTGGTTAATTTGCCAGTACACACAAAGCCAAATTTTAAGCTCAGTGTGTTACTGAGTGTGAACATTTTTGGAGACTATACTAACATTGTAGGGGGAAATTATCTTAACAGTAAAAAATGGTCATGTTTGACATGACTGAAATATGACGTAAATACAATACAAAATTAAGATCAAACCATGAAATAGTGTAATCTTGCACTCTGAACAAGATTAGTTTAGTGACTAGGAATCTTATAGATATGATTTATAGGAAAGATACCTATTTAAATTGAAAAAAAGGGGGAAATTCCAATGGTTTAAGATTTAAGGGAAATTTATCTAAAGGATACTATCATTTTAAAACAAACATGAACTGAACACCTGCTGTGTGCCAGATGATATTCTGTAAGATGCAGATATGACACTTAAAAGACTTTGATCCTGGCCAGGGAGGTGACCCACATGGTGCAGCAGACCTCTCCTGTCTTGTCTGCTGCACCCCTCAGGAGTGTATTTCAGTAAATCCGCCTGTTCTGTTCCCCACAGTCTCTGGTGAATCCCCTCATCCTGCCCCCCCCCCCATGTCTGGCCTGCACCCCAGCTCTTGTATGCATAAATAAATCTTTAATAAAAAAATCACACAGCAAGAGGGGTCTCAAATAGTTTTGGCTGTTTAAAATATATATGACTTCACAACTGAAAAAGTACTTATTCTATTAAAAAACTGTGATGGAAGAAGTTTGAAATCTTATGTTTTCAAAATGTAATCTAAAAATCTAAGTCTCTCTGAACCTCAATTTTTTTTCTGGGTAAAATGGAGTTAATGCTAATTGTTGGCAGTATGTGAGAAAAGGGTGTGAAATGGAAGAAAATGTTTGAGCATGAATTAGACTCAAAGGTACTGAGTGGGAGCACTCGGGTAGAAACGAAAAGAAAAAAAAAGACAAATGATTCTAGTATTATTCAAATTTAATCAAGGTGAGTACAGTTTGCTTGAACGGAAAGAACAATGGCATCATACTTGTAGTGTAGGGCAAACTAACATCAGTTTCTTTATTATAGGGTGTTGTGTGAGCATTTATTGAGTAGTAGGACTAGGCCTATACTAGGCAGGGATATAAAATGAAGGCGGTGTCATTACCCTCAATTTCAATATAATATAATAAATACTACAGACACATCCACTAGATATTTTCTCTGTGCCAGGCACTATTATAAATATTTTCGACTACTTAAATCTTCAATCTTCTCGCAATCTAAAACCTAAGTACTGTTTTTATGCAAGAGGCACAGAGGCTAACATTTCGCCCAGGATCAGCTATTCAGCCTTGGAGCTGCGACACATCTTGAACGAGGACAAGAAATTACAAGTTTGTGCATGCTCAGGGGAGTCAGTGGTGCAGCTTTCCTCGCTGAAAGAACAGTTTTAACCCCCGTTTGTAAATCAGATTTGCAAATTCCCACTTCTTGAAATCAGGCCGTGTAAATAACTCATGACATCTCAAAGTCAGCGTGGTGCCTACATCATGCTAAGGACAGACCAGTCCTATTATCATTTTATTACTTTAACTCGGAGAAGTGCAGGAATGTCCCCAAGGCTTTAGTCACACATTGCAAAGCGGCTTTTCAACGCTTGACACGGCTGCCAAACACGATGCGGGGGGTATGGAGGCGGCTTCCAGCTGCTTTATGTCACGTTACGCTAAAGAAAAATACAGCTACTCTTCGATTATTTTCCCAGTTTTTGACAGTCTCACCTTTTCTCTCTGCAAATTCCTCCATTTGCCTGGTTTTAAGTCACCACCACCACCACGCCGCCTCCTCAGAGCCGCCCGGCGGCGCGCGGGCGGGCGCCTCCCTTCGCCGCAACATCGCTCTGCGCCTCGCCCAGGGCGCGAACGCTCCACTCAGCTCTCGCGAGAGAAAGCGTGATTTTGAACGAGAACTTCTACCCCACCCAACTCCCAAGGGTCACCAGCCCGGCGCCTGCGTCCTAGCTCCAAGGTCTTTCCCGGTCGCCTACTGGCTGTTAACTGGGCTACGGGCTGTCGCGAGGCCCATTCCGGAAGTGGGCCCCGTCCACCGGCGCTCCGCGCGGAAGCGTGTCACAACCTAGCCGTCCGCCTGTAGCGGAAATTCGTCACGTCGCAGTTGCCTCCGAACAGCGGATGTGTGTCGCCGCTTAGGTGACGCTGGGAAGTGCTTGCAGCCTTCGCCGCTGCCTTCTGCTTGAAGCACTATGGAGGGAGAGAGGAAGAACAACAACAAACGGTGGTATTTTACTCGAGAGCAGCTGGAAAACAGCCCGTCCCGTCGCTTTGGCCTGGATCCAGATAAAGAACTTTCTTATCGCCAGCAGGCGGCCAATCTGCTCCAGGACATGGGACAACGTCTTAACGTGTATCCTTGCGGCCTAGGCCTTCGGCCTTGGGAGTCCCGCCTTGCTCGGGCGTCTGGGGCTTAGACTCTGTCGGGGAAGGAAGCGGGGAGAGGTTGGGCAGGCCCCGCAGACCCGCAGCGGAGCGGGCTGAAATTCAGTGTGTGCGGAGGAAGCGAGGCGGAGTTAATTTCCCGCTCGCCGGCCCATGCCACCAGCCCTTGCTGGGAATTCGTGCCCTTCCCGGCTTTGTGCGTTTCACCAGATAGTTTTGAGAAATTCAGTTCCGTAAGAGTTTGTAAAGGATGACCCAGAATTAATATCCCAGCTGTGGTCCAAAATCCATTCCGCCCCATAAGTGCTGTTAAAGTAACCTGTCAATTTCGTGGTTTTCTCGTCCTAAAAAAAGAGGGGTACACCTCGCCTTTGATCTTATGCCCGGCTTAGTGCTTGGCACGCCGATGTTCAGAGAGTAACTACTGTTAGAATTTTATAGAATTCCAGGGGAAGGAAGTGTGTCCGTTTAGATTTGTAGGGATTAGAACCTTGAATAGAATGTCCTTAAAAATCGTTTACAAAATATTGGGTCAAGTTACTCGTAGTGCTGATGTGTTTTCATTTTCCTCATACTTACAAAGATAGTTTAGTGACTTTTCCCCAAGCATTTTTGTTAGGAAATATACTTATTTTGTAGCAGGAAAAAACTAATAGAGACTTAAAATTCCACCCTGAGCGTGAAAAATTACTCTGGGGTGCAACTTTCATTTAAGTGTTACTGTTTTGTTGTTAAGGTTATGCTCACCTCAGAAGAGGTGTCCTGTTTATCGCCCATATCTTGTTTGGTTCTTAAGCATCGGGTCACTACTGAGTTCACCTTTTTAGTTTGAGATGTGGTTTCAGTGCTTACTAGCCCTTGCGTGATGTTATTAAACTTGCTACATCATGGAACTTCTTGGTATTTATACTCCTCATTGTCTTTTAAGTAAATGAGTATCAAACCATTCTACACTGTTTCTGGTCCCATTTTCACTGTGTTATAAGATTTGGTTGTCGGAGAGAAGTGGAACTGAAAAGTTAATTGCTGGAACTTAGAAGGTGAGGAGATAGTAAAAACATACTTAGGACCAGAACATTGAGGGTATTGTAAATCATGTGAAGACATATTCTGAGCTAATTATCACCATTGCAGGATTTTCAGTAGGTAAATGATAGATAGAAAGGTTTAGATCTTGGGCCTCCCCGGTGGCGCAGCGGTTGAGCGCTGGGTTGCGAAGCTGCCCGCGGCCTCTGCGGCGCCGGTTCGATCCCCGGCTGCTCCCCGGCCACCGGAGGAGGATCCCACATGGTGCGCAGACCTCTCCTGCCACCCGCTGCTCCCCTCAGCAGTGTACTTCAGCCCTTCTGCCTGCTCTGCTCCCCGCTCTGGCTCTGGTGAATTCTCTCACCCTCCCGCGCTTCTGACTGTACCCAGTGCATGTATAAACAAGACAAACAAATATAATAAATAAATAAATAAAAACATGCCTCTATAAAAAAAAAAAAAAAAAAGAAAGGTTTAGATCTTACATAGTTTTTTTCATAGTCCATACATGCTGCAAAGTGTTGCTTGTTTAGCAAATTTGTATTGAGTAACTGGTGTGTGTAGGCATTGAGGTAAGTGTCAGTTGACAGTTAATCATTTTTCTTTTATTTCTCAAAACTTTTTTTTTTTTATTTGGCCTTCTGACTCTGGGCTGTGCCTTCAACACTTTCACAACAGTTTTCTGCTCCTCAATAAGAAAAACCTGCTTGATCCTGTCCCACACACATTTAGCCCACATGGAGACACTGTAGGCCCGTTTTTTTCGTTTTTGACAGCCTCATAAGAACTTTAGTTCTCACAACATGAACTCCTTGAAAGTGGGTCTGGGCACACACCAGTTGTGGCTGTTGGTGCTTTCTTAACCTTGGTATAAAGGTAAACAATTCTATTACTAGGACTTAGGGGCAGCCTAGTTTTGTTAAAAGCTGTATTGTAGGATAGCCTGTGATGGTATGTCAAGTACTGGACCGTTCTGAATGCTTCTAGATAACTGTTCCCAGAAGAGGGATAGTTAATAATTTGGTTAAAGAAGACAAACCTCTTTAATTTTGAGAGGTAAGTATTATTTTCATTTAGCATTTACTGTACTTGGTCACATGATCCCTTTGGGAGGATATAGAAGTTGGATTTTTTGGACTTGTACTGCTTGCCTGCCTGCCTGCCTGTTGTGGGACCTTAACTTGAACATTTTAGCTCTCAATTGACTATCAACACTGCTATAGTATACATGCATCGCTTCTATATGATACAGTCGTTTACACAGTTTCATCGAAATGTAAGTATAATTTTTTTATATGATATAGTTCTTTTGTGATTGATTTCAACCTCATTTCTTTTTGGTTGATCTTTGCTGCTGATATTTGAAGTTTAGAATTTAGGGTTCATCACTTTGATTATGTGTCACACTGCAGTTCTGAATCCAGCCTTCAGATTTTCTTGTCAAGTATCTAGCTAGTTGTTTGGTAGTTTTACTGCATCCTTAGAATAGGTGGATTCTCTAATAAAGAAATAGAATGCTTTGGGCCTCCCCGGTGGCGCGGTGGATTGAGCGCCGTGCTGTGAAGCTGTCCACAGCCTCTGCAGTGAGGGTTCGATTCTTGGCCAGCCAGGGAGAAACCCACATGGCGCGGCAGACCTCTCCCGTCTCGCCCACTGCTCCCCTCAGCAGTGTCTTTGGTCATTCTGCCTGTTCTGTTCCCCGCTCTGTCTCTGGTGAATTCCCTCACCCTCCTGCGCCTTTGACTGTACCACAGTTCTTGTATAAATAAACCTTTAAAAAAGAAAAAAAAAAAGAACGCTTAAATTTAGCATTTTTGGGTTGGGAAAAGAGCATTAAAAAGAAAACCAGGGCCTCCCCGGTGGCGCAGTGGTTGAGCTCTGGGTTGCGAAGCTGCCCGCGCCGCGGCCTCTGCGGCGCCGGTTCAATCCCCGGCTGCTCCCCGGCCACCAGCGGAGGGTCCCACATGGCGCGCAGACTTCTCCTGCCGCCCGCTGCTCCCCTCAGCAGTGTACTTTGGTCCTTCTGCCTGCTCTGCTCCCCGCTCTGGCTCTGGTGAATTCTCTCACCCTCCCGCACTTCTGACTGTACCCAGTGCATGTATAAACAAAACAAACAAACAAACAAATAAATAAATAAAACATGCCTCTATAAAAAAAAAAAAAGAAAAAGAAAACCATTCTGGGCCTCTCTGGTGGCTCAGGGGTTAAAATCTCAGTGCTCTCAAGCTATCCCCAGCCACTGGGCATCAGTTTGATTCCTGGCCAGGGAGATACCCACATGGTGCAGCAGACCTCTCCTGTCTCACCCACTGCTCCCCTCAGCAGTGTATTTCAGTCAATCCACCTGTTCTGCTCCACACTCTGTCTCTGGTGAATCCTCTCACCCCCTGCACTTCTGGCCTACACACCAGTTCTTGTATACATAAAGACATAAAAATAAATTTTTAAGAAAAAAGAAAACTGTGCTTATGTAATAATACCATCATAGAAAAAAATGTAAATTATTTAGATATTCTGAACATCTGCTTAAAATTCCAATCATTGGTTGGTTGGAGGGGGAAGGTACATTATGTGATAACGGGGGGATGACTTAAGATTGGGAAAAGAAAATAATAGTAATAAAGGGATTTTTTTTTTCTGGACAGAACTGTAAATAGTACTATTTTCAGTTTTGCTCTCTGAAATGGTCCTATTTAACATTGTTGTAAATGACTTGGAAGCGAGTGCATAGTGATATCCCAGTTGCAGGTAAGACTATGTTTGTTTAATAAAATCCCAAGATAATAAGGCTAAACTTGATGAACACTGCATATGGACTTGTGAGTCAAATATTCGATTTTATTTTTTAAAAGTTACACTTTTAATGAAAAGTGTTTCAGATTTATCCTTAGCATGATGGGCTTTAAGTTCTTTTTCTGTGCAACGGGTAGCTGGATATTCTTATATTTTAAGGCATTGGCAGATACAGTATTGGGAGTAACAATAGAAGAAACCCTTTACATTTGTGGATTAAGTTTTCTGTATTTTTGTTGGTAATCCAGCCTGCCTCACTGTCCTCTACCGTTAACTTCAACTCTACCTCTTATTGCAAGTACACCGTTTTTAAGAGATAAGTATTTAATGATATAGTCGGATAGTACTAGATGAAAAGGTAAGGGTAAAGAATACATTTGAAGAGGAACTCCATAGCTGTCTTGGTAGTTACAAAGTTTTTCTACAATTCTTCCCTTTTATCATGGTGAAAATTTAAAATCCAGATGAAATATATCTCAGATCAGTTTGCCTTCTATCTCTTTTATCTCTGTATCACACACATTGACTACTTTTACTTTTTAAATTATTGCGACTTTCCTTTTTTCCTATGTATTAATCTTAGCAAGGGCAGAAGTTCACTTTTCTGTGTATTCTCCAAAGTATCTTCAGTAAACTTGTTGAATGATTTGGCCACTATCCAGTATAGAGATACTCTTGGATGGCATGACTTTTTTCCAACACCACTTAATTTGGTGTTGTTATCTTTAGAGAATTGATTTTAAGCACATTCTGGAATTAATGGATACCAAAAATATCACCGTTGTGCTATGTGAATTCTAAGAATTTAGCTGTGATGAATCCATATTCAAATTTGAAAGGACTTAGTACATTATAGTGCCATTGACATATATGCTTATCAAGTTCCCGTGCTTTTTGTTATTTTTTTTATATTATTACAGAAGTAGTAAATGCTCATGCATTATAATTAAAATACAGAAATGTATAATGTTAAAAGCCAAAACTTGTCTGTTATGCCACCCTCTATTGTTAATCATTGAAGACCTTTTGGACATGCAGTGTCCCAGACATTTTTCTGTGCATATGTATTTCTTTCTTTTTTTTTTTAAGTGGGAAGGAACTGTATTTCTATATTAAAAAACACTTCTTAGTACACTATTCTTAGTGCACATCACCTAATGGTCTATATTAAATATTTTTTCATACTGGTTTCTCAAAATTTTATTTGGTCACATAGTATTTCCTTGTATAGGGACCGTAATTTATTTTACCAGTTCCCTATTGTAAATGTTTGGTTTGTCTAGTTTAATACATTATAAATTATGTTACATAAGATAATCTTGTACATACATGTGACATGTCACTATTTTAGTATAAATTCCCATAGGTAAATGGCTATGTCCAAGGGTATGATTTTAAGATTTTTTGTTGTGTCAGTTTGCCTTACTGAAAGATTATACAATATATATTGTTTCTAGCACTATAAGAGAGGTTCCTTTTTTCTAATACCCTCACTGGCAACGCATATTCTTTACTTCAGGAAATACTAAGTTCTACCTGCTTATCAACTAGGTGGTACAGTGCTGACAAAGATGGAGGGAATTCCTAAGTTTTCTTAATTTACAATTCAATTAATGATGGTGAGCTTGTTGGTCATTGTTATAAAATTGAAAAATTAACTTTAATAAAATTGTTGATTCTCTTTACCGTTACTGTTCTGATTTTCTTATCTATGAGTTCTCTATATGTTAGAGCTGTGATTACTTATCTCATTTTGTTGTAGCTCTTTGTTTCTGATGTTTTGGACCCTAAACTCCTGCCTTTTTTTTTTTTAAGTCTTAAGCATTAAAGTATAACAGCACAAAGATCTGAAGTGTGCACTGGTTACTTTTTTCATTATTCTATATATGTAGCCGCTGCTTGAATCAATAAGCTGGAAGTTGTGGTTATTAATTGACTGGTCTATTTTCACTTAAATTCTCCTTTTGAGAAGAAATTCAACCTCATTAACTGAATTTCTATATGTATTGTCTTAAATGTTTTCAAATAGGGGAATGTAAAAATAGAGGTGATCAACTGTGTGTGTGTTGCATTTTATATATTTTAAAATATGATGTATTTTAATAGGTAACAAATTTGATTGGTGTATTTTACTTTTGTTAGTTGACACTTAGAAGGCCAAGCTTTGTGGTTAAGAGGATAGGTTCTGGAGTCAGCTCTTTTACAACTTGATTTGGATCTTTGCTGCACTGCTTGCTAGCTGTATGGCTTTTGGCAAGTTACCTTTGTTTCAGTTTCTTACCTCTTTAGAGTCAGTAATAGTGCTTATTTTATGGAGTGGTTAATAGGCTATAAGTGAATTAATTTATGCATGCTTGCACATGTCAAACAAATAAATATTAACTGTTATTCTTTTAAAATGAAAAAATCTTATACTCTTAACTGGTGTAAGGATTCCTTTTAGAAACTTCTTTTGATGGAAAAATGCTTCTTTGATAAGCTAGCTTGGTAAATGATTCCATGGGGAGCAGTGAGTACTTATATTGTTAATTGTACAAAAATTAGATTGAAATTTATCTCTTGTAGTCTTTCATTTAATGGAATTTATTATCTTGCCTTATCTGCCCATATTTTAGTTAGCTCCTTTGAAATATATTTTTAGTCCCTTGGAGGCTTATATTTTAGTGAGTTGTCCTTTTCATTTTCTTTGTTCAGTTATAAAGTTCTGTTAATTTTTATATTGTTACTGTTTTTCCTCTCCCTATCAATGTATTTGTTATAAAATTAAAGACAATAAAAAAGAAAATGATTTCCCTATAACCTACTCTTCAGAGATAATCCTGTTAATATTTCAGTATATCCCATTAGAATTTTTTTTGTGCATACAAATACCCATATATTTAGTGAAGCTCTATTACTTTTCCAATGTGATGCCTGTGTTTTTTCCCCTTTATTTCTACTGCTGGTGCTTAATCTCAACTTTACTTTTTAATGTCTGGATTAATAACATTTTTTCTTTTGCCAAAATTCACTTAGTGTATCTCATGTTTTTCTTCTTTTAGTCCCACCTGCCACTGGATTGCTCATTCTAATATCTTTTAAACTGTATTTTGATTTTTTTCTAAAATCTTTAGTTTCACTCTTGTTAAAAATCGAATGAAGTGGAAAATGTCAAGCTGACCTGTTGATTTGCTGAAGTTGGGACATAGCCTGTATGTACTGAAAGTTTCAGGGAATAGCTGATAACACGTTCAAGGCCACACTCCTGATTCATACATCCCAGCTGACTGTACCCCTTGCTTTAGACAATAAATGTTCTGTTGCTTAATTGCTGGGGGCCCAGACTTTGGTGAGAAATCACCTCTGAACCCACTGGTGTAAAGCCCGCCAGCATTAATAAAGAACTTCCCTTCTCCTCTCTGAGTGCTGCCTGATAACCTGACAGAATCCTGCCATAACACTAATTCCTGAGGTTTCCCAGATCACTAGGCTACCTTTCTGTTATATTACTCTAATTTCTTACATTGATTAGTGTCTGAGTTTTTCTCCCCCAAGTGCCTTTTATGTATCACCTCTTGGATATATAATACTGTATTTCAAATTCCTTTCTTAAAGCTTTGTGTTTCCACATAATTAGGTCATTCAGTTACAACAAATTCATTGTTTTATTAAAGTGTACAATTCATTGGATGTTTCAGTTTACTCCTTTGAAAAAAGTGGAGTGCTTTGATACAAACTTTATAATAAAGAATCTTACTTAAAATATAAAGTCGTCTGTAGAGCTTCTAATGAGTTTGTTGAAGGTTTGGTTTTCCAAAGTGGACTAATAGATAGGAGAGGGCCAGACATGTAAGTAGAATTAAAAACAAATAAGAGATGATGAAGTTGGGGCAAACAAGGGGCTTGATTTGAGACTTAGTTCTGTTTTAGATCTAGAAATAAACAAGTAATAAATGTGATTTATTTTCTTTCCATCCAGTCTGTGGCTCCAGCAGCCTTATTTCTAGCAGCAAAAGTAGAGGAACAGCCAAAAAAATTGGAACATGTCATCAAGGTAGCACATGCTTGTCTCCATCCACAGGAATCACTTCCGGATACCAGGAGTGAGGTAGGGAATTAACTACATGTAACTTTTTTTTTCTTTAATTAGTTTTATAACTGAGTCTGGAATAGTAGCTGTTAAAGGGACCTTTATTGTTTTTTCCTTATAAAAAAAATCAAAGAAATTGTATGGAAAAAGTTAATTTTATTCATTGTAATAAAATTGGAAATTGCAGAAAAACACGGGAGAAAATGTATCACCCAGAAGGAATTTGGACCACAGATATTTAAATGAACCATTACTATTTGCAGCTTCTTTTCTGCAACTATTCATATATATATATTTTGTTATTTTCACTTATTATATCCCATATTTTTCCCATCTTATTAATTCTCCACTTTCTTTAAATGTTGAGAGCATTTTATCATATGCGTATGTATGAAAGCCATTCTTTGTTCTGAGGATAATTTCCAGCTTTCACCACTATGATTTCTTTACAAAGAATAGCTGTACGGATTTTTGTTAGAAATTAAAAAAGAGTTCTGTTACTTTTTTTTTCTTTTTTAAAGATTTATTTATTTATTTATTTATACATACATACATACATACATACATATAAGCACTGGGTACAGTCAGAAGCGCGGGAGGGTGAGAGAATTCACCAGAGCCAGAGCGGGGAGCAGAGCAGGCAGAAGGACCAAAGTACACTGTTGAGGGGAGCAGCGGGCGGCAGGAGAGGTCTGCGCGCCATGTGGGACCCTCCTCCGGTGGCCAGGGAGCAGCCGGGCATCGAACCGGTGCTACAGAGGCTGTGGGCAGCTTCGCAACCCACCGCTCAACCGGCAGCTTCGCAACCCAGCGCTCAACTGCTGCGCCACCGGGGAGGCCCTCTGTTACTTTTTTTAAACTCTTAGAGAAATTACAAAAGTTTTATATGTTCATTATAAAAGAATCTAAAAACCATTCAAAGTCAAAGTTAAAGGTCATCCAGTTCTGGTATATATATTTTCATACGTTTATCATCATATGCATGTACACATGGCTTTTTTCCCATCCTTCCTTGACTTAAAGAAGTGAAACTCGGGGCCTCCCTGGTGGTGCAGGGGTTAAAGTCTCAGCACTGTCAAACTGTCCCCAGCCATTGCACAGCAGACCTCCTGTCTCGCCCACTGCTCCCCTCAGCAGTGTATTTCAGTAGATTCACCTGTTCTGCTCCTCACTCTGTCTCTGGTGAATCCTCTCACCACCCCCATACCTCTGGCCTACACCCCAGTTCTTGTATGCATAAATAAATAAAAACAAATCTTTTTTTAAAAAAGAAGTGAAATTCTCCTGACTAATTAGGGGCTAATATCAAAACAAAAATGAAAACCCTTCCAACCTAAAAAACAAACAATTTCTTTAATGTGTCTTAATATACAACTCCATTTATCTGCTTAGTAAAGGATGACTGATGCATCCAGTGTGAGATACTTAATAATCCATATTAGGAATAATCCATAATTAATAGAAATCCATAATTTTTCTCCAACTACTTACAAGTGCCAGACTTTTCATTTTCTCACAATTCATCACTCCCCACTCACTGACTTCAAAAATCATGAATTAATTGTTTTGCATAGGAGTGTCTTTGCTGCCTTCATTTTTCTTTTCTTTTTTTTTTTTTTTAAAGATTTATTTATTTTTTTTTATTTATTTATACAAGCACTGGGTACAGCCAGAAGCGCGGGAGGGTGAGAGAATTCACCAGAGCCAGAGCAGGGAGCAGAGCAGGCAGAAGGACAGAAGCACACTGCTGAGGGGAGCAGCGGGCGGCAGGAGAGGTCTGCGCGCCATGCGGGACCCGCCTCCGGTGGCCGGGGAGCAGCCGGGGATCGAACTGGCACCGCAGAGGCCGCAGGCAGCTTCGCAACCCAGCGCTCAACCGCTGCGCAACCGGGGAGGCCCCTGCCTTCATTTTTCTTTTGGGCTGCACTTGTAGCTCTTGCTGAAAAGAGTTATTGCTCTGGACTTATAGTTAGATTTGAGATTAGTAAGTGCCATTGCTCCAATGAATTGATCATAAAAACAAAATTTTATTTTAATAAAATAAATCTTCACCTTTTTTTTCCTTCGCTAAAATGTATTTACATAACTTCTTATCTAAGAATTTTGTGAGATGATTAAGAGGAGATATTTTCTTCACCATATGGAAGGAGAGCTAACATAGTCTTTAAGTCCTTACTTGACATATTCAAGATCATAAAGTTAAGTGGAAAGTTTATATCACCTGTCTCTCTTCACTCTTGACCCAAGTCTTGCTCTGCTAGAGTTCAAGACCAGTGCTGTCCAGTATAAATATGATAGGAGTCACATGTCATGTAAAACTTTTAACCTTTCAGTAAACTTCATTTAAAATTTTAAAATATGAGGTGGTTTGCTTATCTGTGTTTGAAGACCCCAACTCTATCACATATGTCCTTGTGGCTGTCTTTACCCCTGCAGTCTTAAGTCCGTCCCAGATGACTGGCTGATTTTCCTGGCCTGCCTGACTGGAAGGCACATTTGCTATTCATTTGCACCTTTGCCTCTATCAAGTATGATCCTTGCAGGGACAGAAGTTCTCCAGGGCTCTCTGTGTTTTGTTGTTTACTAATACTCATGGTGGTTGTAATTGGCAAATGTTGTTTTCATGGGAATGAAAAGAAAAACCCAAAAACTTCTGAAATGGTTTTCTTTTAATCAATGGTGTAGTGTTTGCAACTGTGGTAAATTTAATGTAATGTAAATTTGTACCTTTCCTCTGACTGCTGCTTAGGTAGCCAGTTGTTTTGACATGTGCTTCTCCTGCCATAGAATAAATGATAACCTTTTCTTCATAAATTTTAATTTTTAGCCTGCAAACAACAACAACAAAATAAAACCTTTAAATAAAAGTGAAATTAATTTTAATACTAGTTTATTTAATGAATATATCTAAAATTACTAAAATGTTATTAATGACATAATTCACATTGTTTTCACTATTTTTAAAAACTAAGTCTTCAAAACCAGGTGTATTTTACACTCATAACACATTGTAATTTAGTCTAGGTACAATTCATTTGTTCAGTGATCATGTGTGGATAGTGGCTCCAGTATTGACCAGTGCAAATCTGAGGGAAAATTTTATTTCCCTATGAACCTTAGAAATCTAGCATTAGCCCAAAGGGGAAGCTTAGTAGGACTCCCTTGCTTGCAGTGATATAGGAAGGCTCTGCAAATATCTTTTGATAATGTTGTAAAAAGATATTTCTTTAATTTTCTTTATATCACATGAACTTTAAAATCTAAAATTATCCAAATCACTGGTGCTTTTTAAATAGCCATTTATGAATAAAGTGTTAACTCTCAATATATCATTTTTTTTTCCTTTTAAAAGGAGAATCTACTGAATAGGGATAAGAATTATATTTCTGTTCCTACCATAACTCCTAACTCCTTCACTACTTTTTTGTCTTTAATTTCCCTGGGACGGGTTATTGGAATGGGTTATACTTTATATATTGTGGGGGAATAATTGATCTGTCTTCTCACCTGCAGGCTTACCTACAACAAGTTCAAGATCTGGTGATATTAGAAAGCATAATTCTGCAGACTTTAGGTATGTTTATTTCCCAGAAAATGTTAAAAAATAGGTAATGATAAGAATTAAAATTTTGTTAAATGGAAAAGAAAATCTTTTGAGAAGGTTTTTCTAACTATAGAGTTGTGGAGTTCAGAATTTAATCTTGGCCTGTACTATATATAGCAAAAATGAAGGCATAGTTTGCCTTTGAAATAAATTAGGTTCTAGGGTTTATGATTTGTTTTTTAAGATATGACATTTTTTAACTTTTTAATAAACAATGGCAGAAACTATATAATTCTTCCTTTTATGGGTTTTTGTAGTCTGTCATATCTAGATAATAAGCATTGTTTCTAAAATTGGTAAGTATTTAGAATAGCAGAGTATAAGTAGAATTCAAGCTGTAGTGATTAATGAACAATCCTCTTGATGCTCTGTTATTAGTTATTTTCATCAGAAAGACTACCTTTAAAAGCTTTAGCAAATATGAAAAATAAAGATTTTTTTTTCTAGTTCTTTTGGGCTTTCATTTCTTCTTGGGGTGGGGGGAGAGCTCACGAGTTTTATGGAAAGTTACTTGTACAGCTGTATTTATTGCATACATACACACACAATGAGTTTTTCAAAGTTTATTTCTGAAGTTAATTTCTGCTTATTAAATTTTACTTTAAATTATCTTCAATGTAACCGCATATTAGGGGACAATAACATTTTTCTGGCAGAATAAATTTTATTATTTATTTATTTATTTTAAAGATTTATTAATTTATGCATACAAGAGCTGAGGTACAGGCCAGAGATACGGGAGGTGAGAGGATTTACCAGAGACAGAGCAAGGAACAGAACAGGCAGAGTGACTGAAATACACTGCTGAGGGGAGCAGCGGGCAAAACAGGAGAGGTCTGCTTCGCCGTATGGGTTATTCTCTGGCTGGCCGGGAATTGAGCTCATGATGCAGAGGCTGTGGATTGCTTCATAGTGCGGTGCTTAACCCTTTGCGCCACCAGGGAGGCCCCAGAATAAATTTTAATATTTCAATGTGAAAACCAGTTAGATCCAATTTGCAGGAATCAGTTATTTAAAATAATTCACATCATGTAAGTTTCTCAGTAACATTTCATTAATCTAGAAAGTTTTATCCATATATGCAAAAAGAGAAACTTCATGAAAATTGCATGTAGACGGGCCTCCCTGGTGTTGCAAGGTGTTAAGTCTCAGCACTATCAAGCTATTGGCAGCCACTGTAGCATGAGTTCAATCCCCGCCCAGGGAGCTAACACACATGGCGCAGCAGACCTCTCATCTCGCCTGCTGCTCCCCTCAGCAGTGTATTTCAGTCATTCTGCCTTTTCTGCTCCACACTCTGTCTCTGATGAATTCCTAACCCTCCCTGCACCTCTGGCCTACACCCCAGCTCTTGCATGCATAAATAAATAAATCTTAAAAAAAAAAATGTATATGGACACTGATCCACTCTAATTTTGAGAAAGACCATTTGGGCTTGGTTAAAATTGATGATACCTATTACAATTAAGATGATGAAAAGGAGGAATATAGAGAAACCAAACAAAAGGGTCAAAGAAAAACCTCGAAAGCTGACCTTAAAGTTAAGGCATCTAGGGGGAGAGTGTGAGGATGATGGGTGAAAATGGGGTTGGGGTGGGGGAGAACACAGTGGACTATGGTGGATGACTATGGGTGCTTTGGTGATGGGAGAGCTACGGCGAACACACCTGAGGGGAGAAATCCTCCACTGGCAAAAAATTGCCAAGGATGTAAGAAAAATTTCATTAAAAAAATAATTTAGAACAAAAATGTAATGAAAAGGAGCAAAACTAAGTGAGAGAGGACTAGGTTTTAAAGTTTTCTCAAGGGTCAGCTTTAGAAGATAGTAATCATTTAAATGTCCACCTCTTCCAGCCTTATTCTGTTGTCCCCAAGAAATTGTTTTGTTTAGGGATTATTTGTTCCCCAGGGTCTTGAGACTGCATTGGCTTTATTATCTTAGTGGTATCTTCTGGCTCAAAATATAAACAGCGTTTGAGATATGTGTCTAAGAGAAGAGCTTGCTGCATCGCTGTGTGTTTCTCTTAGGTTCTGAATAGGAATTTGGGTAGAGGAAAATGGAGACCTTTAATGATGATTCAAATATAAGAAGTATAAAATGTCTTGATTATCATTAGAGTTTATTTTTGTTTTTTTAAGGCTTTGAACTAACAATTGATCACCCACATACACACGTGGTAAAGTGCACTCAACTTGTTAGAGGTGAGTAATCCCAACCTGAGATTAATGTCTTAAATTGTTTTGTTTTGTTTTTTTCCCCATCACTTGGAGGGCGTGATTTGCTGTGGACAAAACATAGCAGTTTTATTCAAAAGTTAAACTGAAAGGCCTGTCTAAATCAAAATGAGTGATTCTGACAGGAATTTCGGTTGTGTTCTTATAAGATTAATGTTTTTAGGTGCTCTTCAGTTAAAGAGAGTTAACTTTTTAAGGATGTTTGGTCAAAACTGAGGTAAAATTTGAGAAGTCATTAAATCATAAGTATCTTAACAGCAAATTTAAGGATGTCTTGTGGTTGGGATCTTAATTTGATTCTAGTGTTATTGTCCTACACGCTCTTAAAGGCATCCAGAGCATCTTCTAGAATTTATTTGAACTTCTTTCCTTGCTGACAATCCCTTAGCAAGACTTTCTTTTTATTCTAATTTAGCCTTAGTAGTTAATAATTGCTTGAAAGCTAGTTCCACTATTTAGTTTAAATAGTATTGTCAAGATAGTTAGACACCATTGAGTGCCTTTTATAGTTTTGTGGACCACACCAATTTTTAGCATCATTTTGTATTAAAGTTCTCCAGGTTTTCCTGATTTGTTCTTTATATTTTCAAAGTATTAAAAGGTTTAAGCAAAAGTTGGGTTAAATAGAAATGAATATTTGTTAATATTGAGAAGATCAAATTTTAAGAAGATTAAAATTTGCTTTGTCCTCCAGAGCAGTAGGAATGTATTTTTTTTTTTTTGTTTAATTGTAATAGGTTAAATAATTTATTTGATGGTTTAGGGATTAAATCACAGGTTACTCAATTTAAAACTTTTTTTTTTAGCAAAAATAACTTTCTCAGTTATATCCAGGGATTCTTGATTGTGATGTTACCCTGGGTTACTTCTTAAAAATGATGTGTCTTCCAAACATTGAGTCATATTCTGGGGAGGATGCCCAGGAATTGCATTTTATTTATTTATTTATTTATTTTTTGAAGATTTATTTATTTATACATGCAAGAACTGTGGTACGGGCCAGAGGTGTGGGGGGTGAGAGGATTCATCAGAGACAGAGTGGATAACAGAACAGGCAGATCCACTAAATACACTACTGAGGGGAGCAGCGGGTAGGTCAGGAAAGGTCTGCTGCACCATGTGGCTTAGTTCCCTGGCCGGGGATAGAACTCATGCTGCAGTGGCTGTGGCAAGCTTCATAGGTTGTGTCTTAACCCATTGTGCCACCAGGGAGGCCCAGGAATTGCATTTTAAACAAGTACCTCAGATATTTGGAGGAACACAATAAAGCTTGAGTATTAATGTTATGTTTAAAAATTGCTAATCTCTCCTTCAGTAGAATGTAAATATCAAAAGGCCAGAGATTTCATTTGCCTCATTCACCACTATGTTTTCTGTCTTGCAAATATTAAATGTTTAGTAAATAATTGTTGGGAATGAATGGAATTAATAACTTTTTCCCTCCCCCTTCTCCCCCACCCCCTTTTCTCTTTTAGCAAGCAAGGACTTAGCACAGACTTCTTACTTCATGGCAACCAACAGGTTTATATTTTAATGTTTTTCCCTTCTATTTTTGGAATAGGTGCTTACTTGGGTTGGAATTATTATTTTTTGAGGGTTATATGTCAGATCTATCATTAGTAAACTGGAACCCAAAGACCCATGTGTGGATCTTTGTTACAAAGTGTTATAGACGTTCCTTTTGCAAATTTTAATTTTTTAAATTTGTATTTATTTTTGCACAGTTTTCATGTTGTACCTATTTCCATGGTACTTCTCAGTTTGCCAGGGTGATATTATTACTTGGTGTTAATTGTTTGATAAAATACTTAATTCTGCATGTGTTACTTTGCTTTAAAGTATCCAAGAACAAAAATATAATAATATATCCAAGAACATAGTTTTGAAAATTTGGGAAACTTGGGGTTTGTTGACAGCAACTGAAAATCTCATTTGGGGGATTCTGCAACAATTATATTTTAAAAGACTCCTTTTCTTCCCTCACTCCCAAATAAATGAACATGGATATGTTTAAAGAGGTGGGGTTTTTTCCCTTTCAAGAAAATTATAAACACATAACTTGTATTACCAGATGACTCACTCGTTCTCACCTCCAATTTGTTACTTTTTCATAGAAACCAAAGATACTAATTTAATGACTCTCAGAGCTCACAAGTTTATTTTTGTCACCTGATAGGAGAAATTAAAAAAAAAACCCAAAACTAAATTATCAATCAAGCACATTTACACATGAGAGAATGACTGTCTAGTCATTGTTTTAAATGGACCAGACCTATGATTGACAAAAGACAAGATAGTTTTCAGGGTATTTTCTTAAGGAAACTCCAGTCTGTTTTTTTGTTTTGGTCCTTAATAAATGTGTGGCTTGAATAGTGTGTATTAAAAAAATTTAGAAATGTTACCCAAGCAGGTGAGTTAATGGAAAGTCATGTTGTATGCTGAATCAATGCTCTGGCTTGGGGTTTTCTAGCCCCTTTGCTCTCCAGTGTATTTTTGAACTTTTTTTTTTTTTTTTTTAATTAATGGAGAGTTTTAACTTTGGGTTCAGAATTGAGAGCTCATGTCACTCTTGTTTCCTTCCCTCTGATGTCAGCTTGCATTTGACCACATTTAGTCTGCAGTACACACCTCCTGTGGTGGCCTGTGTCTGCATTCATCTGGCTTGCAAGTGGTCCAACTGGGAGATCCCAGTCTCAACTGATGGGAAGCACTGGTGGGAGTATGTTGATGCCACTGTGACCTTGGAACTTTTAGATGGTAAGTTTTAGAGTAAGGGACCTTGAAAAGCACTTGGCCAAAGTACTTATCTGGCTAAAGGTGACATAATTCAGACAAAAATAGTTAGTTGAGATTATTCTTGTTTCATAAGTTCTGCCTGTCTGAATTTTTCATAAATGTTCTATTTCATTTGTAGAACTGACACATGAATTTCTACAGATTCTGGAGAAAACCCCCAATAGACTCAAACGAATTCGAAACTGGAGGGTAAGAATTATTGCTGTCAGCTTGTGCAACAAAACTGCTTTCTTTTTTTTTTTTTTTTTTTTTAAAGATTTATTTATTTATTTATACATGCACTGGGTACAGTCAGAAGCGCGGGAGGGTGAGAGAATTCACCAGAGTCAGAGCGGGGAGCAGAGCAGGCAGAGGGACCGAAGTACACTGCTGAGGGGAGCAGCGGGCGGCAGGAGAGGTCTGCGCGCCATGTTTGACTGCACCAGTAAAAATACTAGTATTGGATATGTAAACTAGGTTTGGAGTTTCCTTTAATTTAAGTTTTGCAATAATCATGATTTCAACTTTGTAGCGTGGATACTGGCCCAGAAGTTAGTGGTTGTAGGTGATAGCAGAATGTGTTTTGTGTTATGCAACACTTGTGATGCAGTCATCTGGCCATCTCATATAAGTGAGATCTTAACAATGTTTGTCCTTCTATGTCTACTTTATTTCATTTAGCAAAGATCCTCTCATGTTCACCCAAGTGAATGCAATATTGCATTCACAAAAATATTGCAAATGGCAGTATTTCCTTTTTCTAATTGTGATTAGAATACAAATTACATCTTAATCATTTTTAAATGTATAGTTGAGTGGTATTAAATACATTCATGTGCTGTGCAGCCATCATTTTGCTATCCATCCCCATAACTCTCTTCATTTATAAGACTTGATTTAATAAGTCTGTGAATCAGTAACTCTCCATATCCCCAGCCCTTGGCAACCACTGTTACACTGTCTTTATGATTTTAACTGCTCTAAATACTTCATGTAAATGAAACTATACAGTATTTGTCTTTTTGTGACTGGCTTATTTCACTTAGCTTAGTGTCCTCAAGGTTTATTCATGTTGTAGCATATTGTAGAATTTTGTTCCCTTTAAAGGCTGAATAAGATTCTATGTATATACCATATTTTGTTTACACATTCGTCTGTCAGTGCACACTTGGGTTGCTGTTACAATTTAGCTATTGTGAATAACCCGCTGCTATGAGCCTAGGTGTACACATATCTCTTTGAGACCCTGTTTTCAATGTTTTTAAGTATGTACGCAGATATGGACTTGCTGGATCAGATGGTAGTTCTGTTTAATTTGTTGAGGAACCTCCCCACCCTATTCCACAGTAATGGTACCATTTTACCTTACCAGTAGCCCGCCATTTCTTCACATCCTCACCAACTATTATGATTTTATTTTTTGATAGTAGCTATTCTAATTGTGTGAGGTGGTATCCTGTAATTTTGATTTGCATTTCCTTAGTGATAAATGATGTTAAGCATCTTTTCATGTGCTTATTGACTGTCTATCTTTGAAGAAATATCTATTCAAGTCCTTTGCCCATTTTTGAGTTGGTTGCTTTGTTGTTGAGTTTTAGGAGTTATCTATATATTCTGGATATTAATCCCTTATCAGATAGATGAATTGAAATATTTTTTCCCATTCTGTGGGTTGCCTTTTTACTATTTGGATAGTAAGTTTTCATGCATAAATTGAAGTTTTCATAAAGTTCGAATACAGCTATAGGTGTATTCATATTTTCTTTATCTGCATGATTTTAGTCCCTTGTGTTTCTAGGAAATATGGCCATTTAATCTAGGTTATCCAATTTCTTAGCATACAGTTATTTATGGAGACTCTTATAATTCTTTGTATTTCTGTAGACTCATTAGTAATGTCTCCACCTTTTTTGTGATGTAAGTAGTTTGCCTTTTTGGTTTCATTGATTTTCTCTATTTTCTCTTCTCTATTTCATTTATCTTTACCATAACTTTATTTCCTCTCTGTTAGCTGGTTCTTTTTCTCATTGCTTAAGCTGTAAAGTTAGTTTGTTAAATTTGAGATCTTTCTTGTTTTTTATTTTATTTTTTTAAAGATTTATTTATACGTATAAGAGCTAGGGTGTAGGTCAGAGGTGCGGGGAGTGAGAGGATTCACCAGAGACAGAGCGGGGAGCAGAATAGGTGGATTGACTGAAATCACTGCTGAGGGGAGCACTGGGAGAGACCAAAGCGGTCTGCTGCGCCATGTGGGTCACCTCCCTGGCCTGAATTGGGGCTGCTGATAGCTTCATAGTGCTGAGACTTAACCCTTTGTGCCACCAGGGAGGCCCTCTTGTTTTTTATTTTGTTTGTTTTTTATGTAAATGATTTTGAGAGTTGGTGCATCATTTATTTTTCCTCATTGAATTTCTATTTTATTTTTTTTTAAAGATTTATTTTTTTTTGTATAATAGCTGGGATACAGGCCAGAGGTGCGGGAGGGTGAGAGGATTCACCAGAGACAGAGTGGGGAGCAGAACAGGCAGACAGCCTGAAAGCACTGCTGAGGGGAGCAGCAGGCGAGACAGGAGAGGCTGGCTGGCCGGGAATCGAACTCGTGCTGCAGGGGCTACGGACAGCTTCACAGCGCTGTGCTCAACCCACTGCGCCACCGGGGAGCCGCTCTCTATTTTATTTTTTAATCCCCCATCTTTATTCCTCCACCCTAGTATACCCTACCCTTGTCCCTTTACCTCTACCCTCCCTCTTATCCTTAGAGCCCTCATAATGTTTATTAGTGTCTACTGGTTTTTGGAAGTGTTTTATGTTGCTGAATTATCTGCTATGTAAATGTCTGTGGGAGCTTGGATTATCGTGTGCCTCAACTATTCTGTGTCTTTGCCTTGATTATTCTTTGCTTTGACTATTCTGTGCCCTTCAGTGTGCAGAAACAGGGAAAGTTGATAAGGAACCTCTCAGAGCAAAAGTCCTGGTGTGAGGATCTATACAGGCTGACAACAGCATGTGCAGAAACAGCAGTAGGTGTTATGGTTAGAGCAGCATAAACACTGAGACTTTCCTGGACTTTCTCCCTATTTTCCAACCTTGGCTGGAGCCAGCTGGTTACGCATCCCCCACACACTTGTACATTCCCATTTCCTGCTTGCCTTTTTGATCTTTTTTATTTTCTGACTGATTCTAAATAAAAACGAGATTGCCCTGGGAGCTGCACTGCACGTTTGCGGTATAGTCCCTCCAGACTTCTCATTGTTCTGCACATGGAAGCTGAGGAATCTTCTTTCTTACCACACATTGTAACAAGATGAATGTACAGTTGTTTTTTTTTGATCATTCTGACTTGCTTTGCTACACATTATTCTCTCAGACTCCCTCCATTTTGTTGAGAATGTCTGCATTTCATTATTTGTTATGGCTTTATAGTACACCTTAGTGTTGCTGACTTCTTGATGCTGCCCATCAGTGAACTTTTAGGTTGCTTCCATGTCCTAGCTGTTGTAAATATTGCTGCTGTGAACATTGTGTAACGTGGGTTTTGTGTTGATGTTTTCATGTTCCTTGGATATATGCCCAAGAATGGAATTGCTGGATCATACAGTATTTCCGTTTTTAGTTCTTTAAGGTAAATCCAGATTGCTTTTCATGATGGCTGCATCAGTTTATAGTCCCACCTAAAATGCAATAGCATTCTTTTTTTTTCCTATATCCTGACAGGTCTTTTTAACATATGCCATTCTTACATTGACTCTTATTAGAAGCAACAATGAACATTTTTTCATGTATCCTTTTGTTTTCTGGATATTCTCTTTCGTGAATTATCTGTTCATATATGCTGCCCATTTATTAATTGGGTTATTTATTTTTTGTTGTTGAATTGTATGAGTTTTTTAATATATCTTGGGTATTAATCCTTTATCAGTTATGTATTATTTAAATATTTTCCCTGATTCAATAGTATGCCTTTTTAATCGGTTTTATTTTCATTCTCTGTATACAAGCTTTTTAACTTGATATAATCCCAGTTTATTTTTTGTTTCTAATTCCTTTGCCATAGGGATCAAGTCACCAAGACTATCTTTATCATTGCTATCATGGAATATATTGCCGGTGTTAACTTCTATTTATTTAATTGTTGCAGGTCTTATATTTGATCCATTTGTAGTATATTTGTATATGGAGTTAATGAGTGATCCAATCTTTTATGTGTGACTTTCCCATTTTCCCAGCACCAATTATTAAAGGGACTGTCTTTTCCTCATTTTATGGTCATAGATGCTGTATGTTCTGTTCACTGATCCATGTATCTCTTTCTGTGCCAATACATATTATTTTTAGTACTGTCGCTGTATGGTAAAGTTTGAAGTTAGGTAGTGTGGTACCTCCATTTTTCTCTCTTGTGTTTGCAGTTTGAAGCCTTTTGTGGTTCCATGTAAATCTCAATATTTTTTGTTCAGGTTCTTTGAAAAATATTGCTGGTATTTTGGTAGGGATTGCATTAAATTTATATATCATTTTAGACAGGGTAGTCATTTTGATTATATTGATTTTCCCCATCCGTGAGCATGGGATATCCTTTCATCTCCTTATGTTGGTAAATTCTTTAGTAAACATTTTGTAGTTCTTGTTGTATAGATCTTTTATCTCCTTAAAGTTAATTCTCAGGTATTTAATTTTACCTTAAGCTATTATATATAAATGGAAATATTTTCTTAAATTTTTTTGTTTCTGTTTGTTGTTGACATATAAAAAAAGGCTATGGGTTTTTGTATGTTGATTTTGTAACCTGCCACTTTGATGTATTCATTTATTATTTGTAATAACTTTTTGATGGTGTTTTTAAGACTTTCTATGTATAAATATCATGTAGTCTGCAAATAGTGATAGTTTCACTTCTTCTTTTCCTGTTTTTGTCTGACAGCTCTGGCCAAAATCTCTAACACTAAGTTAGTCAGAAGTGGTAGCTGGGCTTCCTTGTTTTCTTCCTGATCTTAGAGGGAAAACTTTCAGTTTTTCACCACTAAGTGTTACATTGACTGTGGTTTGTGATATATGACCTTTATTACATTGAGATAAATTACTGCTGCTCCCATCTTTGTTAGTTTTTATCATAAATGTGTACTGAATCTAATCAAATGCTTTCTCTGTATCTATTGATATTATATTTCTGTCTCTATTGTTGCTATTATGTATTATAATAATTGTTTTATGTA